TCACTCTATGCAGCCCCATGCCAGCTTCAGGCTTTTCCTCACAATGGAGATCAACCCCAAGGTACAGCATGTTGCAGATCAGTTTCATGTGATCAGTTATAGTGCTAAAGTTCTTTTTATAGTAGTGTTTGTGTTTTCTGGTAGGTGCCTGTAAATCTGCTTCGTGCTGGTCGTATCTTTGTGTTTGAACCACCTCCTGGTGTCAAAGCCAATATGCTCAGGACCTTCAGCAGCATCCCTGTGGCTCGAATGTGCAAGGTAAATCGAACACATGCTTCAGAACCTGAGGTGGTAACTGCCCAACTGTTCTGATCTAAATTATTTTGTCATGTTCCTACAGGCTCCAAATGAACGTGCACGTCTCTACTTCCTGCTGGCCTGGTTCCATGCAGTCATCCAGGAGCGCCTTCGTTATGCGCCACTCGGCTGGTCCAAGAAATACGAGTTTGGCGAGTCTGACCTGCGGTCTGCCTGTGACACTATTGACACCTGGTTGGATGACACTGCAAAGGTTGGAGATTGCAAAAAAAATCTCAAGTCTTCATAATCTATTTCTAAAAATATGTGCCAGTAATCTTAAATTTCATACTTTTACTAACTTTAAATCGTCATACACAAGGGACTTGACTTTTAAGTGTGACCATATTAACTCGCAGGGGCGCCAAAACATCGCACCAGACAAGATCCCCTGGGCAGCTCTAAAGACGCTGATGGCCCAGTCCATCTATGGTGGCCGTATTGACAATGAATTTGACCAGCGGCTGCTCATAACCTTCTTAGACCGAATCTTCACTAAAGGAAGCTTCGACAGCGAGTTTAAACTAGCTGTTAAGGTTGATGGACACAAGGACATCAAAATGCCTGACGGCATTCGGTCAGTATTTGCTGCTTTTGTTACTTTCAGCACTTCATGAATTGTAAGATTATGTTTTCAGGGTAGTATAAGTACAAAAATATCTTCACAAATTGTAATTTGTTTCAGACGTGAGGAGTTCATGCACTGGGTGGAGATGCTTCCTGACACTCAGACTCCATCTTGGCTGGGGTTGCCTAGCAATGCTGAAAAGGTCTTGCTTACTACTCAGGGTAGGCCTCAGCCAATCATCTTCACTGTTTTTAAAACGGTTACTGGACTGAACTTTTCAGTACTGCCTGACAACAATCATCTTTTTCTAATGTTTTACAGGAAATTTTATTAACCAGCTCTCCCTCTTTGTTTTAGTTTCCTAACTCTCATTTTAACAGGTTGTCCCCATTCAATGAACAATGAAGTTCTTAGATTTAGTCTCTGCTTTGGGCAGAATGCTCTTCTGTGGTAGCAAAGAAAATGTGAAGTGTGCTTCCTCCTTTCCATTGTTTTTCTTCATCTCACTCTCTGTTAGATTTCTGTGGTTTCAGTAGTAGTTGATTTGGTGTTGGGTAGCAGTACAGTGTGGCCTCACTGGGATCATTGCTGCGGTATTGTAAAAGTGATCTTTTCCAAGGATGGGTGTGTGTCTCCTCACCCTCCAGCAGCTGTATTTCACAGCCATCATGTTGCTTTGCTACGATACTATTTCCACCCCATCCTCAGTTTAAGTTTTTAAACCGCCCCCTACCTCCACCCCCATATCCCTGTTAGGTTTAGTCACAAATGTCTCTGAACTCCTATAGTCCCACCCACTGAGGCAGCACCCCTTGAACCACACTCTGCACTCTCCCTGTTTGTCATCCTCACCCCTCCTTAGTGTCACCCTCAAGCCCTTATCTTGCTTGCATTCTTTTTTAAGATCCAGTCAGTTGAGAAATTATTTCATTTTCTCACTTGGCAGTCGTACCGAATGATACCTGATTGAAATATTGCCTGAAGCCTTGTGTTTTCATATCCTTTATTGTATTAATTTCTGTTAGCACATCTTAATTTTGTATGGAACAAACCCTACCTCCCCTTTCCTTTTTTAATTTTCAAAAAATGTAACGCACCCTTGACGGAAACTGTTAAGTCTCTGTTCCACCATTAATTTCTTCTTCCCCTACCTCCTCGTGGCCTTGTCTTTCAACCCTCTTACACCCCCTCCCCGCTCACTTGCTTACTCTGGCGGGCTGCACAGGCACTGACATGATGGGTAAGATGCTGAAAATGCAGATGTTGGAGGATGAGGATGACCTTGCCTATGAGACGGAGAAAAAGGAACGCACGTCGTCCACTTCTGATGCCCAACCAGCTTGGATGAGGACTCTCCACACCACTGCCTGCAACTGGCTCCAGCTCATGCCACAAACGGTCAATCCACTGAAACGTACCGTGGAAAACATCAAGGTAAAAAAGGAAATATAGAGGAAAGCTAACTGGCCACAAAATTTCACGAGGAAGCTTAAAAATATTTTTACCTGGTACAGTTTGACCTTTCATGTTTGAATGATTTCCACCTGAAATAACCAGGAAAAAGAAAAGCGTTTAAAATCATGGATTTAGAATCATGCATTTATCCAGCAGGTGTATATACATTTATGTCGTCTTTGTTCAAACAACAGGACCCGCTGTTCCGCTTCTTTGAGCGTGAGGTGAAGATGGGCGGAAAGATGCTGCAGGAGGTCCGTCAGGATCTGTCAGACGTGGTGCAAGTGTGTGAGGGCAAGAAGAAGCAGACCAACGATCTGCGAACGCTCATCAGTGATCTTGTTAAAGGTTTTTAGATTAATTTATTCACATCTTTCATGGTCAAAGCTTCCTGTTTTCTGGTAACTTTACAGAGAAAACAGAATATTCTTTGAATATTAATTGACTGTTTGTTTCTGCACAGGAATCCTCCCTCGTAGCTGGTGCCGGTACACAGTCCCAGTTGCGATGACTGTGATCCAGTGGGTGGCAGACTTCAGTGAGCGAATCAAACAGCTGCAGCAGATCTCACAGGCAGCTGCCAGTGGGGGTGCAAAAGAACTGAAGGTATGTGTGTGTGTGTGCGCGTTTGAGAACTGAACGAGCTCTCGGTGCAATAGGTTGGTAAGACTGAGATGCCCTTGCACTACCATTTATTTTCCTTTCTCATTACTTGTATCCTTTGCTGTCGTCCTGCTCCAGAACATCCATGTGTGCCTGGGCAGCCTGTTTGTGCCAGAAGCTTACATTACTGCCACTCGCCAGTATGTAGCTCAGGCCAACAGCTGGTCTCTGGAAGAGCTGTGTCTGGAGGTCAATGTCACCACCGCCCAGGGTGCTCCGCTGGATGCCTGCAGCTTCGGCATCAAAGGTCTGACACAAAACCTGCCATCTGCTGCACAAAGAGGATAAATGGATCAAAGTTTCTCCTCTAACATAATGGAATAGTAGAAAAAGTAATATTGCTTTCAATTAATTTTTTTTAAAAAGCCTTCCGATATGTGCTCAAGACGGCTGTATTAAAGATTCCCTCAATTTATCCCACTCATTTAATGCCCCCATTACTCCTCTTTGCTTAATTTTTGGTTTTGAAGATTTATAGTCTGACCAGGTGCTCTTTTCTTTTGCATATTGGTGTCTTTTTAAAAACATATTTCAACTGTAATTTCCAGGTTTGAAAATCCAGGGAGCTACTTGTGCCAACAACAAGCTGTCTCTGTGCACCACCATCTCCACTGAGCTGCCTCTGACTCAGCTCCGCTGGATCAAGCAAAGCAGTGCAGAGAAGAGGCACATGGTATGATCAACATATGGGCATAAGGTATACCATAAAGAAAAGTTTGGCTTTTTCCTTTAACACTCTTTCTTCCCTTCTCACTGCAGGTGACGCTACCCGTGTACCTGAACTTCACCAGGTCCGACCTCATCTTCACTGTCGACTTCGACATCGCCACCAAGGAGGACCCCCATAGCTTCTATGAGCGTGGAGTTGCAATTTTGTGCACAGAATAAACCAAACCACACATTCCTGTGTACCAACATTTAGAAAATTATACCACATTTAATCACGTACTTTCATTACCCATAATACCTAGTAGCTGTAGTTGCATCCCAACATTACATTTAAAAAGCTTTGTGGAGCAGTAATACATGTGTTATTTGTAGCGGTTTGGAAAGTTTTCTGTGAAGGTTCAGAGAAAGTTGAGTCGGTAAATGGAGGAGTGATGCAATGAAAAAGGAAAGTTGAAAGTGACATGTTTTAATGACAGAATGCCTTTTAGAATGAATAAAAACACATGGAGAAAAACAACTGCCTTCATTTTGGTATTTTTGTTTTACTTGTGTAAGCATCATCATGTGATAGTTTGCAGTCTTTTTTTTTTTTTTTTACTGGAAGATAAATAGAAGTGATATTTTCACAGGCTTTTCCTGTACACTTATTCTCCCTTCACTTGAATCTAACTCTCCTTTTGGTGTACTAAAGTACCATTTTGAAAACAAGTGCAGTGGTCACCAAGTAACTGTGAGAATGACTCATCTATCCCTGAAAGAAAAGGGGCAACTTTATATTACAAAACATAGGGGTACAGCCAAGTGTTGGACTAGAGGAGGTGTATCAATTGGGCATTGGAAGGAGAAATAAGGGGAGGGTATAATCATATGGTCCAGTTGGCCATTGATCCTACTTAGATGTAATCTCTTCAAAATGTTATTTTATAGGTAATGTATATTCCTAAAAGAAATTACCAGCAAACCTACTGCTTTCTGCAGAAGTGCAAGTCATTTCCCAGTTACATTAAACAAAAGTAACACAGGAGCCATCGAAATGTTATATTTGTTCATTTTGTATCCATGTGTGTGAAATATAATTTTTAACTAACATATGATTTTGATGGAAAATCAAGATAAATTTCAGGAAAGCTCTTACTGCTGAATTTTAAAATCAAGTGGTGCTCAAACTTTGCCCGCAGTGCTAATGCAGCTAGCATTTCTTGGAAACAAAAACCAAAGGAAGTTTTTAGAATATACATATATATACACATATATCCTTATGGGGACACAACGTGCATTTCCAAATGTGCAATATGGCAGTCCTTTTGATGACTTCAGCTGGTCAGTCAACAGAAAGCTCCAACATTGTTCAGTCGGTTTCTTTTTCCTCAACTTCCATGTTAGCCACACACTGCCTTTTCCTTGATCTTAGCTCAACACCTTCTATTCCAGGAAAGCACCCCTTTCTCTTCCAGAGAGATCTGCGGTTGCAGGAGCTGGGAGATCTCTCCGAGCAGCTGTCCACCATCTGAGATGAACTGGTTTCCACTGAGGTTTGAAAGCCTGGCGTGTGAGGTGTGGAGGATCTTCTGGAGTGCCAACCCGAGTCATTAAGTTCCAACAGGTTTTGGACGTGCGTTGTTGAATCGGTCACCATTTCCTCTGTAATAATTCCATAGCCATCCTTGCCACTATTAGAGGAGAGAGTATCAAGCTCACAGTCCCACAACTCAGAGTCACTTTCACATTTTGGTTGGACATCGCTGCTGTCTTTGGAGACTGTAGGCTGCTGATCCATTAAAAGATCTTTCATCCCATTTTTTAATCTTTCTCTGAGAGCAACAGAGGCAGGATGGTGAGAGATGAATCGCCTTCGTTGGCTTGGAAGGCGACATCCTCCTCCACCCTTACTCTGGTGCCTTGTTTGCCGACTGGAAACATCAATGTTTGACTTGTCAGAATCCTCTGAGCTCCCATCGTATGGGTCCAATAACTACAGTAATAAGTGAAAGCATTCATTTGTCAACACACAGAACTGCAAATCGCTTTAACATATTACATTTACAAATTACTGGATAAGAGGAGGGAGAATGCTTACCAGGGAATAACAGGCTTGCCTCCCTGTGGACTTATATGTTAATGGAAATGCCCGTCGTGAAGGCCCACGCCCTGGTGCTCTGCTCACACTTCCCTACACACAACAACCAGGGCTTCAATCACTGTATGGGTCTTTATACAAAATAAAAACATCACATTACCAAAGTTAAAAATGGATTAAGGCACATGCTCAGTAAAAGCCAAACATGACATTTATATTTATATATCATTTTAAAAAATACAAATGTTCTAATTCTTTATTAGCTTTTGTCTTCAATGTGTCAGCAGGAGTACTATTCAGATTAAGAATTCAAACAATACCAGTATACTGGTGTCTGACCATCTTGGACTGATTTCTGAGTCAGAATCTGAGCTGGTTTCCACTTTGCACATCTCCTGACAGAAAACAAGAGGTCACTTAAATCCATGTGAATACTTACCTATAATAGATTTGAAAATAAATGTGCTTGTTAGTATTAATCTTACCATGTACTTGAAAGTAAGCTGGTCCATGTTACTGGGTGTATGTCCCTCACTGTGGTCTAGATGCAAAGGAAATCTACATGTTGGTACAATGAAATACCACTTTCAAAATACACTACAAGTCACAGTATTTTTTCATGGCACAATATCTCACAAAAAAAGGTTGCTTGGAATCTGAGGCTATTTTTAATGTAAGTTATCACTTCAAGGGAGGTTCTACGCTGATTGTTCTCTTTAAAAGTTAAAAGCAAACAAAAAATTGTTATTATATACGCTTTATTTTTAAATTGACATAATTATCATGTGCCTTTTTTAATATCTATATATTAGTGAACCTGGGACTCGAAAATGTCAACACCATGACAATATTGTCTAGATTTGAGGTTTTTCAACTGGAAATGCACACAAAGTAACATTTTAGCACATTTGAGCCTTTTCGAGAGTACATTTTCAGAAAAAAACTAATGTTATATTAGGTATAATTTCCTCAATTATTTTTCAGGATAAATTCAGATGCAATACAGTTTAAAACGTAGCTGTTCCTCCTCAACATAAAATACCATAATGCCTACCTGCACGTGAACGTGGCCGTCCTCTCCTACATGCCATGACAGCTATGCGTGCAATTTTCTTAATTGATTTGATTTATTATCTGGACAACGACGTGGTCAAATGATGGCAGAATGTTGTCATAATGCAGTCAGGGTGCCTCGCATGTCAATTAAGCTGCAGAGGACCAGGTGAACTTGATTTTAAGCAGCACAAATGTGGCTACAGGTGAGTTCAAGACGCCACGGAGTTCAAAAATATTGTCAAATCGAAACGTCCGGTGAACTCTTTTTCAAAATAAAGTAAAAAGCTGAGTTGTAAAGTTTCTCCATGTGCATCTATCGTATAACTTAACTCGCTGAGAGCAACAGTGCTTCTTTTAACGTTTATATTATCGTTGTTCTTGTGCTGTTTAATTAAAAGTTAATGTGAATCAGAGTTGGGGTGCCTACTGAAGAATAAAGCTGTGACAAAATGTAAAGTAAATTAATAGTTGCATTTTCATCCCCTTTATCTTCCAGTTCCCCAGTCAACCGTTGGGGGGAATTGGTGAGTCGGAATGCCCGCTTCCCTCTGTGCGTAAGATCCGGCCTGGGGGAAAGGGATGAATGTTAATTTCAAAGATGGCGGCGGAGGGAGGAGGGAAGGAGATGAACGAAATTAAAACTCAGTTCACTACTCGGGAAGGTGTCTACAAACTCCTCACTCACTCCGAATACAGCCGTCCCAACCGGGTGCCTTTCAACTCGCAAGGCTCCAACCCCGTCAAAGTCTCCTTCGTAAACGTCAACGACCAGTCGGGCAACGGCGACCGGATCTGTTTCAATGTGGGCCGTGAGCTCTACTTCTACATCTACAAAGGCGTTAGAAAGGTAGCGTGCTAACTCGGCTAATGCCAATGGATTTTTGAGACACTGCTTATTACAGTCCATCACTACTGTCATCGCTGTTCATGAAGTTTAGCCTTGTTTTTGCTCCGTGAAATAACTCTGACAGGTGCTTGACTTTGAAATTAGCTGCCAGCTAGCTAGTTAGCTCTAAGCTATCCTCAAACTAGCCAGCGCATTTGGCTAATGTTAGCAGCTAGTTCGAGGCCAGAGGCTAATTTTCGTTCCAAGTCCGTTACTTTCCTTTAGGTTTACGTTGTGGCGAGATTTGTTCGCTTGTTTTGGATATGTTAGGAATAATGGGGATGCTGTCGTAAGACTTTAGTTTTAAGAATTGAACCTGGTGCTGGGACGGCTTCAGTTTCTGATGAAACAGCCCTATCGACTGTGACAGCTTTAAGTTTCCGTCCGTAACACCTGTCAACTTGGTGTTGACAGACAGATATCGATAGATCCGACATGCAGATGCAGTCTATCGGTGAACATTCCGATAGCTATCGATGTATTTCCAAATACTGTGATCTGATCTGGGGTTTCAGCCTCTAAAAATATTTCCACAGTTTTAGAGCTATTATTTAAGCTGTGTTGGTGGTACTTTAGCATTTACGTGGAGTTCAAATTGTTGTTTATTTGTGTTATGCCAGTCTCTTAAGTTTAAATTTCTCTTAAGTTTAGATTTCAAATGATTGCATATGTACTATTCAGTGGTCACGCTAGGTTGTCACAGCCACTGTAAGAACGCCTCGATACTAGAGTTGCATTGTAATGTAGTCATAGCTATGACAAACCATTTAAGCAGTCAAACACATGTTTAATGCATCAGCTCCTCTGACTGTGTTAAAATGATATAAGTTTTTTTTATTTTTAAATCACACTTTTAAAAACATCTGTTCTTTTTAATGTGTGGATATATTATTGTTGTAGAATAGATTATACAAACTGCCTGCAGGTTATATGTTGTTAGCTTATGAAGAAGTTAATGTGGTTTAGATGTTTTCCTGACAGGTTGGCTTGTTATGTTGAGACTTATTTCCATCATGATGTGTCAGCACTGAGATTTAGATGAGTTGATTTTACATCAAACAACAAGAACTAGCTGAATAAAATGAAGGCAATGTCATATTGATTAATGTTTACACAAGTATTGGACCTCCAAATCCCATTGTAAGATAACTGTACATCAAATCCAGCTCGACATGTAAATGGAAGCGATTGGAGCAAAATTGTGGACTGGCCCTGATGTTAGTCTGAAATTTAAGCACGGTTTTCCACTTGGCTTTATTCCAACTAAATGACACAAGCCTCTAGTATGAAAATCTTTCTTGTAAACTAGTCGTAAAATGCTATGGAGTTCTATGGCTTGGGTTTATTGACACTGGAGTGTATTTCCAAAATGGTCAAATGTATGAGACTTTTTTGGCTGGATTCTGGATTTAAAAATGCTTCAAAGAACTCTGTTGACATTTTGGTTCTGAGGTAAGACCGGAAAACTTACTGTCAACTAAAATAGGATAGAAGGAATCGCTGAGTCAGCATCTTAAACTAAAAACTTTCCAATCTTCCAGTGTCAACTGTAAATCATTAACATTATGACTGTTTTTATATTGGTTGTCTACTAAGTATGCCCCATAGCTTGTAAACAACTTTCCAATGTGTTTTTTTTTTTTAAATCTATAACTATACTGTCACCTGTGTGATTATTTAATCACCTCTTTAAAACAGTTGTTACAGAGCAACGATATCAGCTCCTCAAACATTCGTCTCAGTGTGTGTATTGAGAGGAAGCACAAAGATTGCACTGTCCTATGTCCCGAGTCCTTTCTCATATCTGATCCACCCCCCCACTTCACATGTTTCCATGCCCTCCCCGCCCTTCTTCAGGCTGCAGATTTGAGCAAGCCAATAGACAAGCGCATTTACAAGGGGACGCAGCCCACGTGCCATGATTTCAACCACCTCACAGCGACGGCAGAGAGTGTGTCCTTGCTGGTGGGTTTCTCAGCAGGACAGGTGCAGCTCATTGACCCCATCAAGAAGGAGACCAGCAAACTTTTCAATGAGGAGGTAGGTCCCTGTCGGAGAAAGACTTATCAGACTTTGGGTTGCCGTTTCTGCACTTTCAATTTGTCAATGAATTATTAAATAAAGCATTGTTATTGTATTGCTTCTCATTAGTTCCATCTTCTCACTATTAACTATTTTTGTTTTTACATATTTTACGTATTAGATCACTGGTGTATATTAAGTTTGAAAATAGTTTTTTTTTCTTTTTCCATTCCAATGTAATCTCAAATAGTCAGTGACCAGAAATCTTTCATCAAATTTAGAGAATTACAGCATATCTTAATCATGACTTCAATTTGATACTGCACTGAAATATTTTTTTTCTTCTTTCCCCTCTCCTTCTCCTCCTTCAAATTGCCCCTCGACCTTCTCCTGCCAGAGATTGATAGACAAGTCTAGAGTGACTTGTGTAAAATGGGTGCCAGGCTCTGAGAGTCTGTTTCTGGTCTCTCATGCCAGTGGGAATATGTACCTGTACAATGTGGAGCATACCTGTGGCACCACAGCACCACACTACCAGCTGCTCAAACAGGGGGAGAACTACTCTGTGCACACTTGCAAGAGTAAGTCCACACGGAACCCTCTCCTCAAATGGACAGTAGGCGAGGGGGCTTTGAATGAGTTTGCCTTCTCTCCAGATGGGAAGTTCCTTGCCTGTGTAAGCCAAGATGGCTTCCTGCGGGTGTTCAACTTTGATGCTGTTGAGCTGCATGGCACCATGAAGAGTTACTTTGGTGGCTTGTTGTGCGTTTGCTGGAGTCCTGACGGAAAGTACATAGTCGCTGGTGGGGAGGATGATCTGGTGACTGTGTGGTCATTCTTGGACTGCAGAGTAATAGCCCGTGGTCATGGCCACAAGTCATGGGTGAGTGTGGTGGCATTTGACCATTACACTACCAGTGTGGAGGAGAGTGACCCTATGGAGTTTAGTGGCAGCGATGAGGACTTCCAGGATCAGATGATCCACTTTGGACGAGACCGTGCCAACAGTACTCAGTCTCGACTTTCAAAGCGCAACTCAACAGACAGTCGGCCTGTCAGTGTAACGTACCGGTTTGGCTCAGTGGGCCAGGACACTCAGCTGTGCCTATGGGACCTCACTGAGGATATCCTTTTTCCCCATCTTCCACTCTCACGGACACGGACACATACTAATGTGATGAATGCTACTAGCCCTCCTTCGGGTGCTACAGTAATCACTAACACCTCGAGTAACACTACTAATGGAAACAACAGTGGTGCCAATACTCCTGGCATAAACTCCCTTTCTACTACATTACCACGCTCCAACAGCCTGCCCCATTCGGCTGGCACTACAACAGCAAATAGCACCAACAAGGCTGGTGGTGGTGGAATCGGCAGTGGTATAATGGACAGTGCCATCGCTACAGGTGTGAGTAAGTTTGCCACACTTTCACTCCACGATCGGAAGGAGCGCCACCACGAGAAGGACCACAAACGCAACCACAGCATGGGTCACATCAGCAGCAAGAGCAGCGACAAGCTCAACCTCCTGACAAAAACCAAAACAGACCCTGCTAAGACTCTGGGAACTCTGCTGTGCCCACGCATGGAGGATGTGCCCCTCCTTGAGCCTCTCATCTGTAAAAAAATAGCACACGAGAGACTTACTGTACTCATATTTTTAGAGGACTGTTTAGTGACTGCTTGTCAGGAGGGATTTATTTGCACATGGGCGAGGCCAGGCAAAGTGGTAAGTTCTTTTTAACACATGAAATGTGGGGGAAATTGAAGGGATAATATTGCATATGTCAGTCTTTAGAAAGACATCCTCTGAAGGATCCAGTAAACTCTTGACATTTGCAGTAGCATTTTCAACTTTTTATATTTCTGTTGTCTCTCGTCAAGCAGCCAAATGACAAATTTAACCTGTACTCCAACTTATTGTGTACTTTTCCTGAGTTTCAGACACAGTATAACATAAACTACAACAATGTAGTTCATGGTTCTATGATTAATTCAGACAGACAACCTGTATCTATAGGCAAACAAAGACATTTATTCATAAGAAATGTGCTCACTGGATCATAATTGTCCCACCGTGCATAGCCAAAAGTCATCTGCATGCAAATTTAAGGTAGGTCTCTGGTTGCCATCTTTGTTTTGGATACAGTTTTAGTTGTCAAAATTCTCAGCTTTTTCTTAAAAGGAAATCTTTGAAACTTTGCATCTCCTCTGTTCTATTTATTTTCTGCTTCCGGCGCAAAAACCAGTGATCAGAACACACAGCTCCTCATTTATGCCACATCTTCTCCCACCTCAAATGACCTGTCACTGATGGCTGATATCAGCCATATTATTTAAGCCAACAAATCTACGCTGCCAAAGACTGCTTGTAAGCTAAAAGACGTCACTTTACTCAATGACCGTCAGGGACAGACTACTGTTTGAGTTCATTATGTGCTGTTGAAGTCAGCATGTTATCTCGAAGAATCAAAAATCAAAATTTTAGATCATAACTTATCTGGATAGTGATAAAAGTTGCGGACATTTAAGTCAAATTAATTAATTAGACTAATTGAAACTACTACTAGAAGCTAAAAAACTAAAAAAACCTGCTGATCACACATTAAAGCTGAAATATAATTTCATAAAGAGTTTGTTATATTTTATTTGTAAAAAAAGATATTTATATCTGAGCAGATTTGATGAAATGCTAATAAATCCTAACTCGACTCATTTCTGCCTCTACTCTAATGTCATTGAATTTGTCTGAATAGTCTGCAGTGTCTTCCATGCATACAGTTTTTGTGTGTGTGTGTGTGTGTGTGTGTGTGTGTGTGTGTGTTTGCGTGTCTTTTGGATCCTTCTATTGTCTGTGGTGTCCCAAGGAGGCACTGTAAAAATTATATTACTGTAACAATTAGCAGTGAGGCTGCTTTGTTCTCAGATGCCTTTGAAGGTGATATTAGGGAGTCTCTGAAACTGTGTAAGAAAAAAAAAAGAGAGAGGCCGATCATGTACTGAAGGAGGGCCGTGATCCAGAAAACCTTTTAAAGACAATATTAGTCCCACACAAACCCACTGCACTGAACTTAGTGTGACACGACTGGGATTTGGGAAGCTGACGCCAGCTTTCACTGAGCTACTTGTTGCTTGATCCTTTTGTTTCTTTTCTTTGTTTTGTTTTGTTTTTTTTTTGCTTGCTGCAGTATCTGCCCTTTCCCAATGCAAATCTCCTTGTTTTCCTTTTTCCAGGGTTTATTGTCATCCCAAAACCAAGCCAGCTCCCCCAGTGGAACAGTAGTATAGCCACAATATTTCTGCTGCTAAAGAACCCTGCAACCCAGAGTCTGATGCTGCTCTTCACCCTGCAAGCATTGCAAGTTTTCCTTTTCTTTTTATACCCTTCCCTCTCCCAGTTTCGTTCATGGCTTTTCTGTTCTTGTTTATCACTCACTTGACTTAGTGGAGGAGCGAGACAGGAAGAGGTGTGGTGCAATTGCTTACTGTTGTGCTATTGTTATGTTCTCTGGAGTTTTAATACGTTTTAAGTTTTTTTTTATCTTTGTTTTGTGTCAGATCTCATCAGACTGTTATCCTCTTTGGACATGAGGCTTGGCTTTGTTAGATGCAAACCAGACAATTGGTGCTTGAGATTAAAAGGATAGTGAATTGTTTTTCATGTTCCCTTTTCCCCCCTATTTAAACGGTGCTCTGTAAACCTGTGTAGGTTCAGGGCTACTGACTACAATATGAAGAACTATCCTTTTATGACCAAGTGCGTGAAAAACTTGCATCCATCCACATTTATCCACCACTTCTGTCTTTTCTTAAGTAGGATCTCCCCCATTTGATGACTTTGCACTGATTTTGTTAGCTATTTTTGTTGTTTTTATAACTACTCTAATGGAACAAAAAAGAAAAAAAAAAGAAAAGACGTTTGAGGACTGCCTTGGTGGACTCGGCTTTAACATCCTCAGTCTTGACATCTGAATCTATAAAGCTGGATGCTGCAATCATAGTCTTTTTAAAGAAAAAAGGTTTGCACTTAAATTAGTTTATTAGAAGAAAATGGCTTTACATTTTTGGGTGTGCTCAGAACTCACAGATGGCTAATACAGTAGGTGAAGAAAATAAGAATTATTAAAACCTTCATCTATTGAGCATTTATTTTAATATTATTTCAGATTCAAATCTGCTCTGTATCATAATGTGTATATTGTAATTAATTAATTTGATGGGGGCCTAAGCAAACTACCATGATTCCAGTGGAAGTTTTGTCATCGATAGTTATATTTCTAAAACCTAAAGTATACATATTAATAATATTAAAATAATCTTGAATACATTGTTTTCTCTTCATTGTTTGTTTCTGCACCTACACATCTTTGGATAACAAACTTTCCAAATCTGAATGAGGAACATGGCAATGACTGCAGAGGTCTGTGGAGTTCAACGACGATCCGGTCCCTCCTCCTGTGCTCGGCTCTGTTTGCTTCAGCCACAAAATACCTAGAATTACATTAAAGCTCCAATTTTATTGCCTGAAGTTAAGTTTAACATGCAAGTTAAACTTCAAATGTAGCCTTTTCCTGTTTGACACAACTGCTCTATTAATGACAATCCTATCTCTGTGTAGCCTTCAGGGGTCACCGCATATTTCCAGATGTTTTTGATACAAAATGGTTTGTGTTTTTAACATTTTTGCTTCTGGTCTGCCGCAGTTTTAATTCCAGTTCACTTCTTGCAATGAATTTTTTTTGTCAACACATCAAAGTAACTAAGACGTGCAGACTGAGTCATGGTGTGTTTGAAGAGTGCACATTTCCGTCTGAAATGATGACCCCATCCCTTCTTTAAACCTGTAGTCTTTATTTAGGGGGTGTGAGTTGACTGGTGAAGCTACATTCTGTGCTTAACATTCAAAAGTCTCACTCGGATATTCCTCCAGCCCAGTAAGAGATCATGTTGTCACCTGCTACACTAATTACACACAATCACACTTAACTTATGACTTAACATGCAGAGATTGACGTTCTCTCTGTCAGCTGCCAAAGTATTTTCAATTCACAAAAAGTTTTTTTTCTGAGCAGGGACAACTTTTTAAGGGTGCCATTGCTTAAAAAGTTGAAAATGTTTATTACCAATGTTGAAAAGCTGTTCAGTTGTCAAATATCTTATTGCACATCCTGTATGAAGGGCTCAGAATGACGACATATATTCTTAATAAGATGTAAACATGTACCACTTGACTGGGTGAAATAAAAGACTTCATTTACATTTCACTCGCACCAAAAGACCAATTACACTGTTTTTACATTAAGTTCCATCTTTACAGTCAAGTTAAAAAGTTTGGTTGGATGACAAGTTTTATGGTCCCATTTTTCTTTTTTCATTCAAGTATTTTTCTTTATTTTGTAGATTTCAACATGAGGCCTGCCCAAACATGGCCTCCCCAATGCATTTTTCTGTTTAAAAAGGGCCACATTGATGCACGGTAAACGTGTTTAACTTTCAGTTGCCTCCTTTTTTCCGATCCAGAGGAGGCATGTAGTAGGTCTTGAAAGCTGCGTGATGTGCCTCATCCCGGGGCTGTGAAGAGAATAAACGCAGGCTAAATACAAAACCAAAGCCCATGATGAAAAGGATGAATAAAGAATCTGTAGGGCTTTCGGTTCCCCTTTTCCTCACACCATTTACTGAGCAAAGCATTCTTCTCATGAAAAGAAACCTTTCAGCTGCGACTGCCAGGCAGCCTAACCGAACTATTCCAAAATGTTAGAGGGTTTACGGCGGCGGCGTCCTACTGTGCTTACCTTAGCCATCTGTGACTGGCACTTTTTGGACGTGATGGCTGGCAGCGTCCCTCTGAGTGTGATGGGAAAAGCCGGCATGGTGGGGCCTGGGAAGGAGCGCTGTGGTCCTGGTACGGCCAGTTTTACCTTGGGCAGCTCTGCGGGGCAATGGGGGCCGTTGCGCCTGCTGAGGGGGTCTGCTACATGCTTCATGTTGTGCTGCACAGAAGCATCACGTGAGCTGGATTGTGGACATTTAGCTTAAGCCGATTCCGTCGGTGAGTAGCAGAGATGTGACTTACACTCATTAAAGGTGTCTGTCTTGTATGTCTTCCTCTCAGCTGTTTACCGAGTCTGGTCGGTCGCCAGACATGCTCCAAGGAATTTAGCATCACAGGACTACCTACTCCATCAAAAGTCCCAGAAACTCTGTAAAGAGCATCAGTTTTTTTCTCTGCCATCCTGTAAATGACAGGATAAGATTCTTTCAATTGAATCTTTCTTTCCCTTTAACAGACATGTTAGTGTCAGTCATGAAGTATAAGAATTAGAAAGAGCGAAATGCCTTACCCACAATTAAATGTAGGTATTTACTGTACCTGACTTCTCTGAAATATGTGTGTCTCAGTGCTGTTTCCGCGGTGATGCGCTCATCTGGGTCATAAGCAAGCATCTGATAGAGTAGTGAAAGAGCTGGAGCTGGGCATTTGGGGATTAGCCGTGAGATGCCAGTGCCTTTCTTTGGCGGGAAGTTGAAATGCATTGCTCTTGACCTGCCAGTAAAAACAACAATAAACTGTTCCGCACAACATAGCAGCAGTCAAAACGTCCTGCTTGGTCAAGATGCACATGCCTGAAGTGAAACACCTACTTCTTGAACTTTTGAAGTAGACTTTGATCAGGTGTCCCCAACACGTCGTGGATCTTGGCCACCTGGTCTAGCTCATTGGTTCCAGGGAAGAGAGGATTCAAGCTGCAACACCAGTAGACAACACAGTGACTGCAACAACACAACTGTTTTGCATAGCTCTAGCAACACATCTGGGTGTGGCTGTGGGTGGACAGGAGCAGTCAAGCTACACAAAGAGCTGAGATACCTCATGATTTCAAAGAAAACACAGCCAGCACTCCAGATGTCCATTTTCAGGCTGTAATATCCGTCTGTGAGGAGGCACTCCGGGGCTCTGTACCAACGTGTGGAGATGTACTCTGTGTGTGGGGGCTTGGAGTACACGCTGCGACACGAGCCAAAGTCGCCCAGCTTCAACATATTTTGCTGCAATTCATACAACAAATAAATCACTACAATGATAGAGCTGATGCTAACAAATGAAAACCCGGAACATTCTCAGAAAACGACTTTTAACGCAACTTACTTTTATAAGTATGTTTTCTGGCTTCACGTCTCTGTGAAAGATCCCACAGCTTTGGGATGAATAAAAAAGCATAAATAAATGATATATTATTATTATTTTGTAATAAAGTTTTTTTATTTCTCCTACCTGTGCATGTGTTGAAGTGACTTGCACAATTGATACATGTAGTTCTTTACTGTTTGGTCAGGCAGTGGGGTTTTTCTCCCTGTGAAGAACGAACAAAATTCATTAGAATCTAACTTTCTAAATACATTTCTGTCTCCAGTGGTAGTGATTCAGTGTGGCTGTCATGCCTGCTGGCTGACCTTGTATGAACTCATAGATGTTCATCTCCATCAGCTCACAGATCAAAGACACGGTTCCAGATTCTTTGTCACTGAAATATTGTTTTGAATTAATGTTACATGATTCACACCAGCAAAAGAAATGCTAATGACTGTATGTGTTCACATTGGACATTTCAGTACTCACAAAATCAGTTCATGCAGTTGGATGATATTTGCATGAGGACTTAATCTTTTCATCGCCTGGACTTCCCGCAAGTTGTTGGCCTGTTCCAAACTTGAGAGAACAAATTATGTTTATACTTGAGTTTAAGGGACCTGTACTCAAAACATGTTGTATTACCTCACCAGACAGTATGGAAACGTACTGTGATAAAGGCTGCACAGGTTTAAAGTGCACAGTTAATGCTGACTTGCACTAACGCCTCACATTTCAACCACTATCATTGATTGTTAATTGTTCAAAGGTGAAAGACAGGGTGAGTTTACGTCAAGCTCAAGTTTCAAGATCTGTACACAACAGAACAGAATATTTGGAAGCAGTGGGAAAGACCACTACTGATGTCCTGGACACGTGATCAGGAAGCTGGTGCTTTGCACATACCTGTTAATTGTCTGCTTCATGGTTTTACATGCATAAAGCTTCCCATCTTTCAGGTTCTGAGTTTTCACCACTTCTGAAAATGTCCCCTCGCCAATTTTCTTAATTACTTTGTAACCTACAAAAAAAAAAACAGATCCGAAGATATCAGATAAAATGTAGAATAAAAAAACATAACATGAAACTATTTTTCTTATGGTCAAACCAGTGGGTGGAATAAGCAACAGTTATCTGTATGAGTCATAAGAAATACTGATCTCCACAAATGGAGATAACCCTGCTGGGCATTATAAGGAATTGATGTGTAGTTATTATGTAGTAATTTCTTCAAATCTTAATTTATACCCATATAAAAACAAATGTGACAAAATATAATGCTATCAAATGTTAATTGGTTTGATTTACTAAATATAATGTAAATAGAAAAACAACAACATCATAAAAATAATCTGAATAGTTTGATTTAGACAATTTGTATATGCAAACTGATATGGAATTTGAATACACTGTTTAAAGATTAAAGACAGAATCCTTGCTGGGAGGTTAACCTCCATTCATTACTTATTGGACATTTGACAGGCGACACTGTGTTTTTTCTTTTCTCATTTTCAGTTTAGCCTGACTATCGATTCGATTCGTCTATATATTAAAAAGATAAAATAAAAATATTCCTAGAATTGTGGCCCCCTTACACTTTCACCATGAAAAAACAGACAAACAAAGTCAGTTGTGTGAGCCATATTCTCAACGGTTTAAGTAACGTTTAGAAATTTATAGAAAAATATTTTTGGGATTAAACTATTTTTCGAATCATGTTTGTCCTATCGAGGGTATATAAATATAACAATGCGTTTATTGTCAAACGAAAAAAAAGATAAAGAAATACACTTGAAAGTTTAAACAGTCAAATTAAATGTAGAAATCTCGTCGACGTGCAGCCGCTCGGTGGACCTCTTATCACTCCGCTGTCTGGAGCGGAGGACTTACCATACACTCCTCTGAGTCTTTGCCGCCGCATGTTTCTCGGTTATCCATAACATGCATATACATGCGGTTCATTTCAATGCCAAGACATAAAATAAAGATATCTGTAGTTTCGATACGAATAAAGTACACTGGGGTCGTCTTAGGTGCTAACCTAGCCCCGCTAGCCAGCCCTGTTAGCTGACCGTCGCCTTGGTAACGGAGCACGCCTTCGCCCTCCACTCTGACCTGAGGAGGTAACTGGAAACTGAATGTCTAACTGTCTCACCGGCCGGACACATCTGCTGGGGGAACAAAAATCTGGTTTAAAGGGAAAAAACCGGCCTACCATATTGAACATTTGTCATACAAGCAGGTTTATTTTCTCCAGGCCCCGATAACCGACACGAGTGATATCTATTTTCCTGACTTACCTTTTTTCCAGAGGTGGGTGGTGACCATAAGGTCAGATGTTTTTTCACCAGACTGCAGGATGCTATTCTGCATATCTGCAGCATTTCCCCAGTTATTCCAGTCGGTGCTAGGGGTTGTTTTAAATGCATTTCGAAGGCTTGCCCTGTTTTTAACGTCAATAAGCCAATTTGAGTAGTGCATCATTGGTGCACCAGAATTGAAAAAAATCTGACCATGGACTGTGTTATTTATTTAGGCAATTTTTGCGAGGGCAATTTAGCTAATTTGCTGCATTCATATAATAGCATTACGTTACCAGGCTCGAGTTCATCTCATACACAATGTATTCTTCACTCACGGCTCATGCGCTTTAAAGGCGTGGACTTTATCATTTTGGAACTTCATCGGCTTCCGTACAGAAAACCCACCTGCGCATGCTCGGCAACTCTGCGTGTTTTCATTGCTGATGTTGCTCCAGATATGTGAATATCTTTTCAGTATATTCCTTTAATGCTTTTTTTTAACCTGCATTTGACCAAAGTCTGGACTTGAATCAACATGAAAACCAGATTTACAACTGTGGATATCAGGGCAGTCATTGCCGAAATCAATGCCAAGTAAGGGGTAGATGTTAGGTTAAGCTAACGTCAACTTAGCCAGGTCTAACTGTTGCTTACACGGCTAATGTTGATTTGTCTCCAGATGTTGATCGGCCTGTCATTTATTTCTCCTTCTTTCACAGCTACATTGGCATGAGAGTCTACAACGTGTATGACATCGACAATAAGACATATCTCATCCGTCTACAGAAGTAAGGGGGAGATTGAAAACTTACACCTGAGTGTCTGCTGTTAAGTTTATTTCGAGTGAAATGTTAGAGGCCTATGATCTTACATAGATTGCACAACACTCGAACAGAAACGTTTGATGATTATACAAAAGAGCTTCTGTTATTTACATAGTAGGGCTTCATGTGAATTAGATCTAGCTACTAAAGGATATTCAAAGAGAGTAAATGCACTTGCTTTTATGTAGCACTTCCAGACTGTGAATGACTCAGTGTTGACTTGTTGTCTCAGGCCGGACAGTAAAGCTGTTCTCCTGATTGAGTCTGGAACTCGAATTCACTCCACAGACTTCGAATGGCCCAAGAACATGATGCCTTCGGGCTTTGCAATGAAAGTAAGGACGATTTGATTATTATATTATGAGAAATTAACTTTTGTCTATTGAGAAGAATTTGCAGCCTTGTTATTTGGACTTATTTTAACAACATTTTAAAACATGTAATTTGTTGTAAATTATTTTTTTACCTCTGTTGTTAAGAAAATATTCACATCTTGTCTGGAATGATGGTACATTTTAATTTTTTTTAATTTTATTTCTTGACAAGAAGATAGCATCTCATTGTTTGTTTCTTTTTGTTGCTGAATTTTTCTTCAAAGTTTTATTCTTTATATCTTTCAATAGTGTCGAAAGCACCTGAAGTCGCGCCGGCTGACAGAGGTTAAGCAGCTTGGGATTGACAGGATTGTGGACATTCAGTTTGGCTCAGATGAGGCTGCCTACCACTTGATCATTGAGCTATACGACAGGGTCAGAAAACTAAACTCAGACTTGTCTTACATGCAGTTTAGATCCTGTCTTCCTTCATCCAAACCATTACTCTGATTCACAACAATTTGTGTGTCCATGCTTATTTTTTAGGGTAACATCATACTTACTGACTATGAGTACACCATCCTAAATCTGCTGAGATTTCGCACAGCAGAAGCGGAAGACGTTAAGATTGCTGTGAGGGAACGGTACCCTGTGGAGAATGCCAGACCGCCTGAACCTGTCATATGTTTGGAGCGGTAACAACATCTTTATTTGTGCATCCATCAGAACACAGCTTGCCGTGACAATGCAGTTAAAACATTATTTTCCCTGTTTTACGCAGACTCACTGAAATCCTAAGCAAAGCACAAGATGGAGATCAAGTGAAAAGGGTTTTGAACCCTCACCTCCGTAAGTAAAACTGTTTACTTTCATATGTCTTACTGAAAATCAGACTTGTTATTTACATTTAACAACACCTCAGTTATGAGATTCAAAAACGGTAAAGAAACTTGGTGGTGTTCGATTCATGTGAGGATGTTCTGATTAAAAAAAAACATACAAAAACAATCTTGAAAAAGAACAAACTGTAACAGCACGACACCAGGGGAGATCTCTGGACATCTCTCAAGTGTGCAGCAGACCACCTGTATATTCTCTTTAGACAATTTTGCTTCAAAGGTTGAGAGCAGTATAAACCATATAAGCAGAAAGTAGAAAAAAACAAACAAAAAAGATCATGAGTTCCTCCTTTAAAAAAACAACTCTTAAAGGTTGTTTAGCATGCAATACACGGCAGAATGATGTTTTGTGTTTCTGTCTCCAGCCTACGGAGCCACTCTGATCGAACACAGCTTGATAGAGGCAGGTCTTGCGGGCTCTGTCAAAATGGACAGTCAGGTTGATGCTGCTGAAGGTATAACGAGACACCTGAAGTAACATTCTTCTTGCAGTTTAACTTGGCAACCTTGGTTTTAATAAACAGTGTTTCCTTCTTCTCAGTTGCACCTAAAATCTTGGAAGCCTTGCAAATTGCAGAAACCTACATGGAAAAGACGGAGAACTTTAGTGGTAAAGTAAGTATGCATGGGACAGTGTGCTGTGAATCTTCTGCATATTTTGTGATAATTTTTCATTTTCTTCTTTGATGTGTTAAGGGCTACATAATACAAAAGAGTGAGAAGAAACCTAGTCTGGCTCCGGGCAAACCCAGTGAAGAACTGCTCACGTATGTGTTATTGTTTACAGAGCATAACATTATATTTCCATTTGGTTGTTCACAAATCAGTCAATAGGTTTTCATCTACTACAGATATGATGAATTCCATCCTTTCCTCTTTGCCCAGCACACAAAGAGCCCTTATTTGGAGTTTGATACTTTTGACAAAGTGAGTATAAGCATGAGTCTTGCTTTATTGGGTCTGTGCTGGTTAAAATATTGAAGTCCTGTTTTTTTTTTTAAGAATAACTTTGCAATTGAAGTGTTCCTCTCACACAGGCTGTGGATGAGTTCTTTTCTAAGATGGAGAGTCAGAAAATTGACATGAAGGCCTTGCATCAGGAAAAACAGGCTCTGAAGAAGTTGGAAAATGTTAAAAAGGACCACGTGCAGAGACTTGAGGCCTTACACCAAGCACAGGTTGGTAATAGACGACTTCCAATCCCATTTCGTGAAACTGTGTTGCGACCCAATAATTAATATTTACATCGCTTGAATTCCCGCACGCGACATGTTTAATGTTTCGTAGGCGGTGGACAGAATAAAGGGTGAACTTGTGGAGATGAACCTGCCTATAGTCGAGAGGGCACTACAGGTGGTGCGGAGCGCCCTGGCCAACCAGGTGGACTGGACAGAAATTGGGATTATTGTCAAAGAAGCACAAGCCGCTGGGGACCCTGTGGCCTGTGCAATCAAAGACCTGAAGCTGCAGACCAACCACATCACCATGCTTTTAAAGTGAGATCATCACCGGGGAAGTGAACATGTCTGAGACCCAACGCTTATCTTCATCGCTGTGCTGTGTGATGCTTTCTTGGCAGGAATCCCTATATTTCTGAAGATGAACAAGAGACGGAGGAAAAAACACATGAGGTGGAGGCGAAAGGGAAGAAAAATAAGAATAAAGACAAAGGGCAGAGCCAGAAACCTCAAAGGAACAAGCCCCTGTTGGTGGATGTGGATCTCAGCCTGTCAGCTTATGCTAATGCCAAAAGGTAGCTTCATGCTAAGGGTGTAAGACACAGATTAGGATTTATTTAAAGAAAGCTTTTTGTTGATGGACCTTATTGTTGTGCTTGTGTAAGGTACTATGACCACAAACGCAGTGCTGAAAAAAAGGAACAGAAAACCATCGAGGCGGCAGATAAGGTGAAGAGGTTGCTCCTTTATTCCATGTACAAAATTTGAATCTCAAACCGTCATTGTAAGCACTAAGAGGTTTTGAGGAGCAGCAAGCAAAATCTTTTATTCCGTATTAATTGACAGAATTTTTTTTTTTCATTTTATCAAAGGCTATGAAATCTGCAGAGAAAAAAACACACCAAACTCTGAAAGAAGTTCAGACAGTGACCACCATCCAGAAGGCCAGGAAGGTCTACTGGTAAGGCTCATTATTCTATTAAAAAGCACGCCAATGTGGAGGCTTTGCTCTGTATAAATCGGCTCATTCTGCATTTTCCTCTCGACCATCTTTTCCTTTTTTCCAGGTTTGAGAAGTTCCTGTGGTTCATCAGCTCAGAGAACTATCTAGTCATCGCAGGAAGGGACCAGCAGCAGAATGAGATAATTGTCAAACGGTACCTCCGGGCAGGTAGTGGAATGTCTGCACATCTCTCAGGAAATGAATGCCTTTAAAATTCATGTCTGTTCCAACGCCTATGCCTTCTACTTTGTCAGGAGACGTCTACGTTCATGCGGACCTCCATGGAGCAACGAGTTGCGTCATCAAAAACCCGTCAGGTAAACGGCGTTTGTACCAGCTGGATCAAGTCCGTTAAGTTGTGACACTGTGATAGTTTGTTTTTTTCATTTTCTCGTGTCTCACTTTGCACAGGGGAGCCCATCCCTCCCCGTACTCTGACAGAGGCCGGCACCATGGCGGTGTGCTACAGTGCGGCATGGGATGCCAAGATTATAACCAGTGCTTGGTGGGTTCATCATCATCAGGTAAGTAGGAGACGGTATGTTAGTTAGCACACTAATCAGCCACAGAGATCAGAAATAAGAGCATTAATCTGCAGCATGGCTGCTGCATCCTCAGCAGGACAATCAACCCCATTTTTTGGTTTTGCTTCAGCCATCAGCAGCTGGAATAAATGTGAAAACAAAAAGAAAATGTTTTCTTTTGTCAAAACTAAATTAACTTTGTTATCTGAGCACATTCATTTAAGATAATAACACTACATTTCAAACACATCTATTTTTATTTTATTTATTGTGTATTTTGTTCCTCATAAAACATTTGTAACATCAGTTATGCTTTTTTTTGCTGTTTTTAGTTTTTTTAGCCAAACAAAACAGACTTTCTAAGGTCCAGGTACCTGAATTCATAGGGATATTAAAAATGATTTATGTAACTAAATATGAAATGGCTGTCTTTCAGGTGTCTAAAACAGCCCCCACAGGAGAGTATCTGACCACGGGGAGCTTCATGATCAGAGGTATGGCACACAGGCTTCCAGTTACATGATTGTTAACAGAACTTTCAAGCAAGCCCAGCTGGCGAAACATTGCTAATGTCAGACTGCTGGAGTTAAGCATTAATGTGTTTTTATTTTTTACAGGAAAGAAAAATTTCCTCCCTCCCTCTTACTTGATCATGGGTTTTGGATTCGTCTTCAAGGTAAATGCCAGCTCTGACAATCTTTTATTCCTTTGTCACTTTCACACAATTAATTTTCACCTCCTCGTGTTTCAGGTGGATGAGCAGAGTGTCTTCCGGCACAAAGGGGAACGAAAGGTAAAAACCATAGAAGAAGACATGGAGGAGGTCACATCCAGAGCTGCTGAGCTGCTAGAGGACGGCGAGGAGCTGATGGGTAATGGGGAAACAACTACCCACCTTAATATATTTGCAGAAAGTGCATCCAGTTGTGGCAGCTGTTTCTGACCACTTTGCAGGGGACGACAGCAGCAACGAAGATCAGGGAGAGGAACACACCGCAGACGGAGAACAGAAAGAATGGAAAAAAGAGACAAAGACGGAGAACGCTGAGATGGAGGACGATGATGCGAGCGGAGACATGGACGCTGATCGGGATGAAACTGATCGGGACCCAGACGAGATGCAGTCTGTCCAGAACAACGAGGAGGAAGACGGTGATGATGAGACAAAGAGTGAAGAATTCAGTTTTCCCGATACAACCATCTCCCTTTCCCACTTACAGTCTAGCAGGTAATGGTGCCACCTACAGAAAATATCTACAAACCATCAGTTGTTTTCAAATTGATATTCAATCTGTAAACTCCCCTTTTCCTCTCCCTAGGAATGCTCAGAATCCTGGTTTCAAAAAGGAAACAACAGCTCAGGCAACTATTACTGGGCTTACAAATTCCAGTCATTACACACTTATTGAACTAGATACACTGAGGTAATTTTGTTCATGTCTCTTCAGGCTGAGTTGGATCCACTGGGGAAAAAACACATGACAGCCAAGCAAAGGAGGTGAATGACTTGTTAAAAATGTGTGACAATATATGGGTCTGTGTAAGCAAGCCATTTTTTATTTGGTTCAAAGAGGAAGCTCAGCAAAACTCTTCTTTTTTTTAACACTATATTCCACTAGATGCCCCTAGATGATCCTGTAGCTGCCTGTGATGAAGATTAGGTTTCATTTGATAAGTTTAACTGATGTGTATTTAATACTGATTTGATCTTCCAACTTTCCTAGAGAAGAGAAGAAAAAGAAGCAGAAACAGGAGGGTTTTGATGCTGAGGAGAATGCTGAGATTTCATCTGCTGGACCTGAGATTTCATCTGCTGGACCAGCTGAGGATCAGGGCTCCAAAGGTGGTGGTGGGCCCTCACAGCAACCTCTGAAAAGAGGACAAAAGGTGATGAGAACGGTTGGAAAAACATCAATAAGGCACAATATATAACTAATTTGAAAAAAATGTAATCTTGTTCTCTGTTTAAATGGAAATATGACTTGAACAGTTCGATTTAAGTCCAAGCCATGTAGTGCCAACATAAGATTAGAAATGCTGAACACATTACTGCACATTTCTCACTTAAATCTGATTGGACAGACATGATCAGTTTGTCATAGGTAGATCGATCATGGTTTAGGCTTGTGTTGCAGCTAGTGTTACTTTGACTGCCAGAGAAAATCTGGGATGGATACATCATATGGTCCATACAATGGCTCAAGATGTGGATTTAGTTTCTAACCTTAATGCAGAGTAAGGTCGAGTGCATCTTTAATTTCTAATGTTATTGCTCCATCTCCTGCTGACGCTACAGAACAAACTAAAGAAGATCAAGGAAAAGTACAAAGACCAGGATGAAGAGGACAGAGAGCTGATGATGCAGCTGCTTGGGGTGAGCATGAATAAACTGAGTGACCCTAAAGGGGCACTTGCTGTGAAATGACATTAACACAGCCCACTCTGAGAATCCACTGTCCTTTATGAAGTCACAGTAAGTGACATTTCTGCCTCTTTCCCCACTTCAGTCAGCCGGCTCAACCAAGGAAGAGAAGGAAAAAGCGAAGAAAGGAAAAAAAGGGAAGGGGAAAGAAGAGCCTGTCAGGAAGCCGACCGCTCAGAAACAACAGCAGAAACCTCGGAACGTGGTGATGAAACCAGAGCAAATGGGAGGGGTGGATGAGGGCGAGAGACAGAGAGAGAGGCCACCCGCAGAGGAGCAAGGTCCTGCAGAACAGGAAGACAAGGTAAGGCACTGAATTCATACAATTAGTAATAACCCACCACCAAGGTCTGAGATAAGACAACAAGACATATTTGCTAAGAATTGCTTTTGTATTCAGTCAAATTTAAAACTTGGTCATTGAAACTTGAAATTAAGATACAGAATATAAAGTATTCCATGAACAAAGCGGGTCCGATTTCATTGTTTCTTCCTGTCTTTTTGTCCAGGAAGATGAGGTTGACCAGGACAACCCTGGGGCAGAGGTGGGTTACTAACATGTTATTAACGCGTTAAAAGGAAAAATTACTTCCTCTGACATACCATCATTGATTCCACCAGGAAGCAGAGAACCTGCTCACCTCTTTAACTGGCCAGCCTCACTCTGAGGATGTGCTGCTTTTCGCTGTCCCCGTCTGTGCTCCATACACGGCCCTGTCCAACTACAAGTACGTGCACTCAGCCCTTTTCCCCCCTTTTTTTTGTTGAGATATTGTGATGGTTACTGGGCTCATGAGTATTTTGTTCACCTCAGACACAAAGTGAAGCTGACACCGGGCGCTCAGAAGAAAGGAAAAGGTACGTTAACATTTTCTTCATGGTTGTCACGTTGACAAAGATCTCAGATTTCAAGGTGTATTTATCGATTTATTTTCATGTTCCTACAAGCTGCTCGAACGGCGGTGCTCAGCTTCATGAAATCCAAAGAGGCTTCGTCCAGAGAAAAAGACGTGTTCCGCAGTGTCAAGGTAAAGAAATAACAACGCTGTGATGACTTTTAATTAGGGTGTACCATTAGTGAAACTATTTAAACCCCTTGGTTATAGAACATTTAGATTCAAGCCTGTTGACCATTTTTATGTTTCTGTGGAATGTGAAATTGTCAGTGAAAATGAACAGATCAAATCTTCTGTACTTCATAAATGAATGCTTAAAAAAGAAGAATGTCATAATACAGTTTGGGGTTGGCCATTGAATCCCCTCATTCTGTGCTGCAGGATGCGGATCTGTCCAGAAACATGCCTGGGAAAGTTAAGGTGTCTGCTCCAAACCTACTGGCTGCCAAGAAGAAATGAATGATGGGTGAATATGAATCAACCTACAGAGACAAAGTCAGAGACCTAATGTGGTTTTTGAAAGGGATGCAGGTTCTTTATCAGCACCGCCTCCCTGTTTGAATAACGGATTTTATTTTCAAGACTAATTGTATTTGCTGATCAGCAACATGATAATGAAAAACTAAAAGAGAGACCCCAGACTATGGCATGTGTTTATTCTTCGAGTACAAAGTAGGGACTGCAATAAGAGTGTTCACTGCACCCTACAGTTAAAACAAAAACACATCAAGATAACTTTGTGCAAATCTGGCAGGTACAAAAAGCCCTACTGACATGAGGCATTTCAGTGCAACGTGGCTCAACGTCCAATACACTCGCTGTATATTAAATTATTGATTAAATTAAAATGCTACAGGAGCAACCTGTATATGTTCTGAGGTTCTGAAAGCCCCTTTGATAACACAGTACTCACAGACTTATAAATAACTATATACACAAAAACAGTTTCTCTGGTTGCAGAGTAGATAGTCTGAAGTAGCATCGAGCATTAGTTTTGTATCTGTGAGACCTAAAGTACACAAGCATAGATCAAGCAAACAGCTCTGTCACAAACTGCACACAAAAACAAAAACAAACAGCAGTTAAAGCGAATGTTTCCATCCCTCTGTATTTGGTGTTAAGACAACGTCGATATTAAAAGGTGGTTTCTGGAAGAGAGTAGTGGGATTCATCCCACAGTTGATTTTATAAATTTGCAACTAGTCTTGTGATGCAGACCCCAGCAGAATGAAACAGCTTTTTATTTTATAAAAAGAACAGAAATGCCTACCCCTCCTTCCGAACATGTTGAGAAATTCAGCTGTCTGTCCTTTAGTATGGACGGAGGAACAAAAAACAGGCTACTGTACTTTGTGTAAAGAACTGAAAAGCAGCATAGATACCACACAGCGGGTTCCACTGGCCTCGTAAGAGTCACAAAATAATGACCATGAACACATGACCAACAGGTCAGCTAATAAGCTCTTAGCGTGCAAACTGAGTCCGTATCATTTCTTTTTCATTCTTCCCCTCAAGTCTGCTTTCAGAACCTCTTGTTGACAGTATCTGACATTTCAGGAATGTGCAGGCTTCATCGCTGTATGGCCGTCAGAAAGGTATCCCTGCCGTTAGGCTATAAATGATCTCAACAGAAAAGTTGGAGCAGATCGCCCCTGATACAGAGGAGTTTTGGGGAGCTTTGTGCTTCTTTTTTAGCTTATGAGCTGAAAGCCTACTGGTGGGCTGCAGAGCTCCAAACTGGGAACATTCTTCTCTCCTAATGAGATGCTGGAATGAAGCACTTTAAAACTGTTCTGCCAGGAAAAAAAAAGATCAATGTGGTTAACACCTTTTAGTACAACTACACTTACACAAGTTCACCCTGTTTCTTAAACATTTTTCAGTTGCCCACCCACATTAAACCAATGCTGCTTTAAAAAACAAAACAAAAATAAGACTACCTGCTTTGAGGAAAACATTCATCTCTTTCACACATTCACGCAGCATTCCATTCTCTCCTGTAAACCTAAGATCCCAGAATGTTGACACGGGACATTCTCAGTTTGAGGCTGTGTAAGAGGTGTTTAGGCAAGCAGTCCCAGTAGCAAGACAGACGCTCCCTGTGCTGCAGAACTGTCTCCATACACAACCTGGGGAGTAGGAACAGGTACATGTGAGCCCATTAAAACACAAACTGGACACATCGTAGACCTCCGTAGATTTTTTCTCGATACACACTCACCTAACTAATGATTTGGGCTGAACATTGAATACTAGTAGCTCGTTGCTGTGAGCCTGTCCAAAAGGGAAAGGAATAAGTTAAAATTAATTCAAATTTATCGAACGAAAGGCATTTGGGACACATTGAGACAGCTTACTGCTCTGTGGTGAGATAGGAGGTTGTTGGCACATCCTCCAAACACAAAGACTTCTCCATCAGGACCCGAGCACGCCGTGTGCCACAGCCTGAAGTTTACAAGCATGACATCAAATTTCCATTTGGCTGAAGCCTAAACTACGGTCATAAAACCTTCTAGATGAGGTGACGCCATTACCTGGGGCTCTCTGTGTGACCGTGTTTGAAGGGCTTCCATTCATTCTTGCTCACGCAGTACAGCCAAGCGTCACCTGGAAAACAGCACAAAAGCACATCTAGGACAAGGGCCAATACTTCGAAATGGCCGTCGACAACCTGAAGCCAAGTGGCAGACTCACTCAGCGTCTCTCTCTCTGTGGTGAAACCTCCAAATAAAAAGATGTGGTCTGATGATACGGGTGTGAAGGAGTGCCAAGATCGGCCCAAAGGACCCAGTTGGGGAACACTCCTTCGACAGAACAAACAGTGAACTTGAGGTATGGTGCCCTCTTATTATAACATGAGAACAAACTCCATGTGGTGTGCAAGTATCCTTTTTAATTCTGTGGTAAATGCTGTACACAAACTTAAGACTAAAATGTATACGTTTTATTTAATATTTACAGTTTACAGTTACCCCACAACTTGAAACCTAAAGAGGATTGCCACTTACATTTCATGCCATTCCCAGGTGTCCAGGTCAATGTAGTACAGGTCATTTAGTCTGTAATTCTAGAGGCCAAAGAAAATGTGCTTGGGTTGGTACGGAAAAAACAATGGGAGTTTTTGAGAGGGTTTACTGTAAATAAATCAAATTTTCTGTCAGCCTACCTTGTATCGCCCACCAAACACGTACCCCCTGTTGCCAACTGTAGCACAGGCATGAGCTGCTCGAGGCGATGGCGTGTTGCCCTACGTCACAGCAAAGCATTTACATTAACTTCAGGAGAAACAAAACTTCATCTTAGATCTCAACATCTAACAGTGTGAGTCAGGACATGTTTGTCTATATGAGGTGGTCCTAAATTGGGTGAATGAACTTTTCTTTTTTATTTTTTTTTATTTACCTGAGTGATGGGTTGGCTCCACGTTGACGTCTCCAGATCTAGAATGTGGATGTGGTTGTTCCAGCCTCGCTCTGGGCTGTCCCACTGCACAACAAGAATAATACAAATTTAATAAAAGGAGGGATACATTCATCTAAGGATCCCATTTTGTTCTCATGAAATAGCAATTTTCATTCGAGTAATAAAGAAAAACATCCAAATATTGTTCATATTGTGAAGTAGATTTTTCCACAAACCACGTGAATCGACGACTCATCGAACTGAAAAGTCCCTCGATGAGTCCCTTGAGGAGCGTAGCCATAGCCCCCAAAGAATATTAGTCTGCAAACACACAAGATCACAAAGGCCCACTTAGAGACGTTTGTTATAGGTCCTTCTTCCCTACTGCAATTAGGATATATATAAGACCTGCACTGCCTGATCTGTGATGTTAAATTAGTTTTATTAGTTAAATTAGTAAATTAGTCAATTGGTAAATTGGTGTTCATTGTAATTTTAGTATTGTAATAACTAGATTATATTTTAAAAACTCTCCCTTGTAAATTACATTTATTTGTTTTATTACATTGTAAATAACCTTTAAATATGCCTCCACCGTGCTTGTGCTTTTTTTCCTTTTTTCTGCTGTCACGTGTAAATTTCCCCACGGTGGGATCAATAAAGTACTTTATTCTATTATGTTGTTATAGACTCCACATTGCACCATAGCAGCCTTTTTTCACCTGTTTTTCTGAACCCAGCATCCTAACTTGTCTTTGGAAGATGGAGGAAGTCCTTTAAGATCCTTCATCTCCTCCCACACGAGACTGGGAGCCCCCAGGAGCAGGCGGTATATCTGCAAAGTACAACAAAGTGTCCAGAGTGCAAGGTTCGGGAACAGATAGCAGAAGATGGAAAAACTGTTTCATATTGTAAGATAAAAGGCAGTACTCTGTTTGTGTTTCCCCTGGCGTGATGGCCACCAAATAGGTACAGGACTCCATCAACACACACCCCACAGCTGCCTGACATGGATGTGTGTAGGTTACCGGCGGTTACATGTTTTGTCCTGCAATACAGATTTTTTACCTTATTTAAATGATGTAACAACAGGTTGAAGTAATGACAGGGTTTTAAATTTGCAAATAAGATGCTCTCACCACACTCCTGACTCCATGTTGTAGGTCCAGATCTCATTTCTCGGTAGATATAAGTCAAAGAACCCATGGTTTTGTGCATTCTTTATCAGAAGGAGAATACATTGTGATTTGGGGGGAAAGGCAGAAAGTGGGAGCACACAAACAGAATGGAAAGCCTTCCGGTGGTCCTACCTTGTATCCCCCCCACACATACATGATGTTTCTGTCCACAACAGCTATGTGGCCGCTGCGTTCAGCAGGGGTGTCCACTTCGAATGACTCGGACGCTTCAGTGTCCACCGGCTGCTCATCCTCCACATCATCGTCCTCCTCCTCTTCTTCCTCCTCCTCTTCCTCCTCCTCCGCCATGTCATCATTCACCATCCAGGCAAACAACCTGTCATCTTCTTCTCTGTCCGAGTCGTTGTCCTCCTCCCCGGCAGGGACGTCTCCTACGTCTTCCTCCATGTCTTCGTTTCTCTCCGCCATGTACGGCTGTCCTGTCTGAGGTAAAAATTAAACCTGCGTCCAGTCGTGCTGATATCCAATTCAAAGGTCTGTCTCACAAACACAAACACAGCACATCTGGAAGAGTAAGCCCACATCTTGTAGCCGCGCTCAAAACTTCAGAAATTAACACATTTTGGACTGCTTTTCAGTTGTGCTTCAAGGACGTTAAATCTTCTTCCAATGCAAAACATAAAACCTAATTTAATCAAAGCTCAAACTTGTTTTTTCCTTTCGCGTTAGCGGCAGCTGCTTGAGAGCAAAGACAGCGGTTAGCTAGCAGCAGCACTGGACCTGCTGACCTACTTTGATAGCTTAACAGTTTAGGTTACTAAGTCAATTTTAGCTGCTAGCATGCCCTCTAAAATCTTCACGAAGACTAAAGGGCATGGTTATGCTACTTGGAAAAAAAATATCGTCATCAAGGCCAACGGACAAGTCATGTTTACCAAACCAGGGAGCAAACAAACGCTTACCAGTGCATGTGCTGTTAGCTTTAGTTTGCCCAACACTCCCACATTTAGGAATGAGTACCAAGCTAAATGGATATCCAGAGCCTGGTTCCCAGTTTAACCAACATTCAACATCCCAGTGCTCAATGCTTTCGTCTGATTCATAACCTTACCTTATCAAATGTTTGGATTCCAAGGAAATTTAAAAAGCAATCCTCTGTTTATATCAGATCCCCCCCCAAGAAGAGAAACCGGAAGCTGTCGACTCAGTAAAGCGGAAGAGAGTAGATCGTCACGTATGATCAGAGCTACCGGAGCAATTAGGCGCCATATATTTCCATCTTAATTTCTGGTGTTTTCAGGAATACCTTTCCTGTAGTTTATTTTCTGAAATCATGCATCACCTCAACATAAGCATTTTGCAAAATATAAGTAAAAAAAATATTGTATATTTATTTAATATTGATATTTAAGCATCATGTCACTGTTTTCTGCCCTAAAGTTCAATTAAAGGGCTTTCAAGTAGTCATTTAATAACATCTCAATTACTATGTTGGTAATACACATTAACTGTTGAAGGTTTCCACTTAGATTTGTTTTTAATGGTAAAAAAATATCTAGTGAAAAATGTTCAACCTAAGTTTTGAAAATTGATACTAACTGAGGATTTAAAATCCATTTGATAATGGGTTATCACATTTCAGCTGAAATATTACAGTATATATAGGCTACATCTATCTGCACTACCTTGGTCGTCGTCAAGGCATTTTAGATAATGTGAACATAAGAAAGGACAAAATGTTGAGTACAAAGAATAAAACCTTTATTATTCTAAATGATACAAACACAGAAAGATAACTACCGCACTTCAACATCCATTATTACACATTAAATATACACATGTGAGAATAGCTTCTGCTAAAATCCATAATTTTTTTCAGAGTCCTTGAAGTTTGCTGTAAACACAAAAGAACAAGTTAATTAAGTGGGAACACAATTAATACCAATGTCTATGTTGACTCCTAACGAAAAAGCTTAGTTTAAAGAATGCATCCCACCTGTCCTCAACAGTTCTGTTGGATGGGTAGTAGACCTTGAATGAGAAGCCACTTCTGGGGAATGAGCCCTGCAGTAGTAAATACATTAGTGACAAAAATTATAGGGTTAAATCTTTAGAAAACATTCCAAGAATGGAGAGGAACAACAGCAGCACTAATATTATCACAAAAGGTAAATCCGACTTTAGCTTCCTTCATACCGGGTTGACACAGAGGCAGTCAGTGTTGTTGATGCTGAAGGGGTCGTACTTGTCTGCAAAGACAATGACGTCGGGCACCGGATAGACGCGTAGGGTGTAGTCATAGGCCCAGAATACAGGACTGACATACAGAGGCAGCGGAACTAAGTGTCCTTGGGATAAGATCGTCTTGACAAACTGGAAGAAGTTATTTAGGTTTGAATGGAATGACTAACAACACCGTGGAAACAGCACTAGTAATAACAGTGTTTGAAGATGACTCGGTCATGAGAAAAACTAAACTCACATGGTTTGGGATGTCAAGATTCTTGCTTGGCAACCGGACGCAATTTCTACACATCTTGTTGACCAGATCTTCTCTGATAATTACGATCTCCTGGCTGCAGTACTGGATCCTGGAAAGATCATATTTACCATCAATGCCACAGTAGTTTCAATCCCAACATTCTCCAAACCTTAATGGTCCATCATTTGGGAGTTTTCTTGGTAAAAGTCACATCGTCACATGGCCTACCTGCACGGGTTAGTAGTGAACACAGAGAATGGCACCCTCTGTCTAAACTCCTCTGTCACGTGGTCAGCCAAAGGAGGCCTGAAGACAACATATTCAGCCATATTTTTTCTTGGAACAGAGCAAATGTTGTCCAGTGATTTTAAATGAGAGGAGTCTGAAGGCTTACCGCGGCAGGATGCTGCCTGGACCTGGGTCCAAAGGGCCAGGAACAAACACAAAGCGACTGCTGCAGGGTTTGGGAGGAAACGCACAGGCTTCAAGAGATGGATACTTTTCAGTTCAGACCATACGACAAACCTGTTAGATTTTACCTGCTATGGATGCTGGGATACGAACATATGGCATCAGCAAGGGCCTTCAGTGATTCTTAAAAACAAAAAGGATTATGTATTTCTGGATGTCTTCAAGTTTGTTTCACTGTTCTGAGACAACAATCATGCAACATTTAGAGCTTAATTGAAAATTTTCTCTAGTTAAAATTGCCAAGGGCTCACCTCAATGAAAAGTTTAAAGTTTTGGGCTTAAAAGACTCACCTTTGAGGGATTTTATCTGCGTTTTCCCATATGGGGCCGAGGAGAAATTTCCACAAAAAACAAAACACGTAGGAGGCATGGCTGCGTACCCTGTCAGAAAAAAAACACAAACACAAAACTGAGAATTCGAGGATCGTCTAAAAAAGTGTGTGCTTTTGACCCACGAAAGCTTATAAATCTTGACCTGAGAACATGACGTTGAGCTTCTCCATCACTTCAACACTGTCCAGCCACACGTCAGACAAAATCACAAACATGGCGTCTTCATTCTCCTCCTCCAGCTGCTTCAGCTTGGAGGAAGCTTTCACCGACGTGTTGGACGGACCTCCGAAAAAGTTTATATTGCCATAGTATGCCCTAAAATTAAGACAGGTGTTAAACTGTTAGGAGGTAATGGACTCACATTGTAAAAAACAAAAAAATCATATGGAGCTGAACATCTAGCTTTTTCAAGATATTCTAACTGCACAGACTGGAACACAGTAAAGCCTGTTCACTGATGTCACACTGAATTGTTGCTCTAGTCCAAATAATATACGCAGAGAGGAGAACCCACAGAGAACTTTCTTTTATACCTCTCCCCGATGTGTGAAGTCATCCCTTTAAGTCACTGACCTTGTGGCTGAGGAGGGCTCTGTCGGTGGGAATCCAAAACCGTTGACGTGGAACACAGAATCCTCATACCAACCTGCGGCAAAGCAAACATGAATCTCGGCCCCAGACATATAAATGAGAAAATCTATATTTATGGCCCTTTTGTCACAATTTCAGTCCACTGCCTGTTCTTTGTTTTCTCTATCTGTAGCAGCGTTGAATATTAATCTCACCTTCTGCCAGTACAAAGCAGGAATCTGTGTACAAGCCATTATGAAACTGGTGAGAAGAGAGTTAAGGAGTTTTACTCTTTCAAAAGCTTTTTAATTGAACAAAAATCCTCCTTCGCTGACATGAAGCCGTTCAAAGGATATTGCTTTGGACATGTCCAGCTGCACCGTTCCACTGGGGTCCTCCAGGTAAAATTTACCCTACATAAATTGTTGGAAATATTTTAGAAAAAAAAAGCAAATAAAATATTTTTAATTACTTTTACTGTATAAAAAAGAGGCTTAACGTATCCTTAACTCACCTCTTTCAGCTGTGTAATCATTCCAAGTACGATCACCTCTCCGAGTTTCGCTGTGCTGCCAAGCAACGCTTCAACCGTCCTCAACTGGGGACGACAAATAACCCCAGAAAAGTTAGTCGGTAAAATTACAAACAATACGGCATAGGCGTAAGTTATATACCCATTTGCTTAAACAGTGACATAAAACATTTCTAGCATTTCAGCCGACACACCCAATTCAGATGATATACCTGAAACTTATTTTGACCCTCTTCAAGCGCAGCTCCAATTGCTGGAGGAGTAAAGAGCTCATGTCGATGTGTGCGCTGCAAACACCAAACAAAGCAAAAGCATTAACTCAAGGCTTACTTGAAGCCGATAGCAAAATACATGATAACAGATGCTGCTGACCTGCTGTAAAATTGTGTAGCGCTCCTTGAAGAGTTCAGCTTTGACTTTGGCCAAACCACACAGACTAGGGGCCGAATGGGTGGTCATACTGATACTGCAAGTAGACGTAACAAAAGAAAGGCTTTCTAAGACTACAGACATATGTAAATGTAAACTATGTAAACTCTTAAAAATAATATATAAACATAGAAAGAGACAACACAGGATGTTGACTCACGGTACAAATTTCTTCCTCTCCACACTGTAAATGTATCTGGGGACATCAAAGGCTCCAATGATGTTGAAAATATTATCTCTGGAAAAGAGTTAAGGTGCTCATATAAATGTTTTTACTAAAAATGGTTCTGTTTCACAGTAATTGCTTGAATCTAAACATCACATCCCAAAAGAGGCCAGGACAAAACTTATTCACATCTGACTCCGCCGCATTACATAATTTATCCTTAGAAGAGCTTACAGATACATTTATGAAGGAAAAAAATGGTACATGTCTGACTAAATGTTTGAATGAACCAGACTGCACTTACATGGCTTCGTCACATGACTGAGTGCAGTCCTGCACAGCGCTCTCCGCCACAGACAGCTCTATCATGCTCGAGGTCACTTTTAGAAAACACGTTGTGGTGAGAATCTGCACCAAACACAGCAAACAGTGGCTCAGAGAAGCTGACCGTGCAACACTTACATGGCTGTTTTTCCACAGAATCCAGGACCCGCTCAATAACATCCTCCAGTTCAGAGGGACTGACCGACTCCAGCACCTCCACAAGGTACCTGCTGGCCTCACTGCAACACAAACAAGGGAAACATCTTTTTTTTTTTTAAAACAGCAGCCTAACTGTAACATTTGCTTAGATTAACTTGCAAGATATTAAACTACTTTTAAAAAAAGGAATCTGTGTAGACATTTAAGTTAAGAGTCTGATGACATGAAATTTCATTTTAATCACTGAGTTCACACTAAAACAAAGGAATAAAAAAAAACTAAAGGAATGTAAAAGCAACAGGCATCCAATACTAATACTACTACTTCTAATAATCATTATGCGACGATTTTACAGCTATAATAACGATACTGTTGGAAAAAAATTGTTTCTCGACTCTTTCTGCCTTTGAGGTGATGTTCTGACACTGAATGCTTATTAAAAACACGCCTGAAAACCGCTCAAAACAAGCACGTTTCTCATCCAGAAACCCTGTTATATAACAGTTACTTACGGCCGCAGTATGAGGCCCCTCATCTTGAAGGCAGCAGATATTTTTGTCTTTATTTTACGGCCAACATCCATGTTTGCTTCAGACTTGTCTCAAGCTTTGGCGCTAAAAGCCAAACTTCCGCATATACTTCGTCACTTCCGTTCAAGCGATCCCTTAAAAATAAATCTAAATATTAATAATTCACAAAATCTGCACAAAAACAAACTGAAGCTCTCTTTGTGGTATTCCATTGGGTTTTAATGTATCTTGTGTTGAAAGTAATATTTTCAAGGCACACATTTATGCATTTATAGAATTATACATGATACTCAACCTAGTTCACATGAGCTAGAATTTATATGGATGGGACAATGATCATGTTCACATTCCTTAATTACAAGAAACAATTGTTCTGTTGAGAGATTGGTTGTGTCTGTATATAAACATTTCCAATACATCACAACATAAAGGCTGCCAAATTATTGAGACCCTGTAGTATTATGCTCTGTGAAGTGGTAAGCTATCGTTTTGTGGTAAATGTTGTGCTAACGAAGATCAAAGGTAATTATTTATGTAATACTATTACATTATGTGTATTTATTATTTAAAGTCTTGTTACAACACATGTACCTGTATCTATATATATTTTCCTCTTTCTCTGCAGCTCTGTACACTATTGACTTTTACTTGTCAAATGTTTGCTGCTGACATTGTAAAGCTGTTTTCTTCAGCAAAAAGTCAAATAACATTGATTTTCATATTTTAAAAAGAACATTCCCAGGGTTGTTTGTCCATGTAAAATCATATTAGTTGTATTCAACCATTCGTCCATTACTTAAACAATCCATAATGAAAAGAGACATTTTATTTTAATTACATTTGTCTTATTTCAAAGAATAGTTTTGGACCGAGTTACTCCCTTAGTTTAAAAATGGTCATCTGATCTAAGATTTTGGAGCTTTTCCTTTCATTCAAATCCCCCTCTTCAGTTGTTTGAATACATGTTAAGCCTGTGAAAAAAACTCAACAAATTCAAACAGACACAGCTACATAGTATCAGTATTTGACTAAAGGGATCTATTATTTTGACCTGACAGAGCAAATACACTTGGAAGAAGATAAAACATAGCATTGCTCCTTCACCTTCAGATAAATGATTCTGCTGGATGTGTGTGGAAAGATAAGTTACATTTGTGACAATCAATGTTTCGACAGGCAACTGCTTTGTTCTCTCGAACAAGTGAAACAATTGACAAGATGTTATTGTTATATTCCTCCTTTCATCCATTATCTATATGCTTATTCCTAATGGGATCGTCACTGGGTGAGAGGTGGGGTACACGCTGGGCAGTCCAACACAGGGCAACACAGAGACAAACAGTCACACTCCTTCATGGGGGCCATTTAGAGTCTCTAGTCAGCCTAAAATGCAGTTCCTATAAGTTTTGCATGATTCAACTTGATCTCAGAAATAGGACTCATAATGGAAAACACGTTTTCCAATCATTTATGTATTTCTATGTCAATTCAAAATAAGATTCTGATAATTATTTAAAAAGGAGATGTTTAAAGATATGCATGAAATAATAAATGAAACTATTTGCCAAACGTTGAGATTTGTTCATTGTTGTTTTTATTTCAAATTACTATGTATTAAAAAAACTTATTGAGATTTCTTGTTGAAACTTATAACTAAAAAGTAGTTCAAATTATCATCGAGCAGGAGTTTTATGTAGAAAGAAGCGAACCGGAAGTCTAATCTTATTTTTCTGTTGGTGTTTACACAGCTGATGGCACCGACCAGAAACTGTCGTTCCTTCTGGGGAGCAAAAGGCTTTGAATTTCCAATTATGACAAAGATACACACAGCATTTGGAAATGAACAGTAATTTCCAGGTATGTTTACAAAAGCGTTTTCGTTGAAGCCTTTATCAGTCATTTTGGAGTAAGTAATCTTATTGGTTTTTCCTTCAGCACGAAGCACAGTTAGCTCCGTAACACACAGAGAACCACTTTTGCACCAACAATAGACTGTATTTAATATCATACAGATGAAAATAGCTTTCTGGGATCAGTTATTTGTCTTGTGTTGGGCTTTTCCCCGCCAGAGACAAGCCTAAGCTGCAATCGACATTTTCGGGTACCTTTTTTTACGTAAGTTCTGCTGTTTTTTGCTACTGCTGACAGATGGACTCAGCGCTGGAGAGGCACTGCTCGGAGCTGGTGGCCCGGGAAAGGAGCGGACACACGGCCGTGGTGGTTGACAACCTGCTGTACGTGTGGGGAGGTTACATGGTAAGAAAAACGCAATAAATATGTTACCAAACGTGTTTTGTAAGGAACACTTTAGGCCATATGCTGTGGGGTGAAATATGTAAAATTACATTACCCTTAGCACATCTTGTTCTCCTGTGGCTCCTACTGGGGCTCTGTTTTATGTCACATTCAGACATTATACTCACTGGATTGCACATATTCTTCTTCTTAATACCAGGACAGTTTCTGTCTGTCAGTTTCACATTTTAATTTATTAGGATGTAAGACTCCAGCCGTATGTATGTAACTATAAAAGTATTTTTTTTTATGTTACCAGTCAGTCGCGGAGGAGGAAGTTTTCCTTCCCAATGATGAAATCTGGGTTTACGACCTCGAAACTGGTATATGGTAAGAAAACAAAACTATTGAAAATTCCTGCAATATTTACAGGTTCTTTCAGCTGCATCCTCTCACGTCTGTTGTTGAAGGTTAGCAGTTTATCCAGTTTCTTTTTCTTCATGTTTTGTTTTGAGGGAGGTGTTTCACATGTCAGGGGAAGTTCCTCCCTCCATGTCTGGGACCTGCGGCTGCTCCCTGAATGGGCATCTGTACATATTTGGAGGTTGTGATGACAACGGACAAACCAATAAGGTGGGAATATCTTTTCTTACTGTATTACTGTATTATGTGTGTTCAATGAACATTATGCATGCTAAAAAAGTTGCAAAAAACATATAAAACATGTTTTCTATTTCATAAAGATAAACACTTAACATATTATGATAAATTGATGGCTAGAATTTCTTTATAATTTGTTTTTGGCTTCGAACAGATGTACTGTGTTGACCTGACAAATGGGGAATACATGTGGAGGAAGATTGTACAAGAGTTTGGTTCTGCTCCTTCACCTCGAGACAAACTGTCTTGTTGGGTTTACAATGGAAAGTAAGCATTATAAGAGGAGTGATTTTATTTGATGTCAAATATATTCTTTTGATGTAGTTTTTCATGATCACATGTCGGTGCCAAATTTTGAGGATTTTTGTAACAGTTCAAAGAACAGCCGTTATGTCATGATTATGTGTGCCATCTATTCTCATATTTTTTAAGTTGAAGTGTGTCAGAAATGTATAGATATTCTGTGTTTGTCTTAGTAAGCACACTCCTAACCACCATTTGTTTTTTTAGTTTACCATCCCACATTTTTCTGTCAGGTCCAAGTAAGGTGCAAATTGTGTTTTTTGTTTCAATATTATCTTTTTTCACTATTCAACTGAAGAAATTAAACCCAAAAAAACACATTAGCTATGGTAAGTGACCATTCGTCATGATGTCTATGCATGATATTGATTATGGTGATTGTGGTTTGATGCTGTACAGGCTCATCTACTTTGGAGGGTATGGCCACAAACTTTTGGCTGATATTAACAACAGGAACAGAAGCTTCATTGTTGATGAAACATCATGGGTAAGACTTAATGTTTACTGTAAATCAAGCTACGCAGATGGGGGCTAAAAATGGTTTTTTTTTTATCAGGTGGAGGATGTATTTTGGGGATGGAATAATGAAGTTCATGCATTTGACCCCATGCAAGTCAGTTGGAGTGAGCCTAAAACTCACGTAAGTATGAAAAACATCAGAAGGACCCAAATGTTACTATAGAGAGAAGTAAGACATAATTTCACATTGAGGGAAACATCCACTTTGTACTTAGATTGATGATACTGGGACATACTGTTTTATTTGAAAAAGATAAAGAAATCAGGGGGTTAAGCTTGGCAGTTTCTTGTTTGTAGGGTCGTGCTCCAGCTCCGAGAGCAGCCCATGCCAGCACCACACTAAAATCCAGAGGATACATCTGTGGAGGCAGAGTCATGGTGAGAGGCCTGCTCTGGTTCTCGTCTTTCACTGTGCATCACCAGGTTGACAAAGGACAGCTCCACATTTTTGCTTTTGCTCTTTTCACAATGTAGGAAACCAGAACAAGTGACGTTCATTGTCTAGACCTTGAATCGTGGACATGGTCAGAAATGTACGTATGCATGTGCTGCCTGTTTATTGACAATGATTTCCCATCAGACTAAATTGAGTGTGTGTTATATATTCGATTACATTTGCTTAAAGTGGTCTATAAAATAAACAGTTGTTTCATTGTTGCTAGGTTTTCCATTAACATTGATGTTCTGTTAAATTAATATTTTCCAGAGTCCCTTTGTCAAGCACTCCAGTGGGCAGATCATGGCACACGCTGTCTGCAGTGTCAGACACCACCATGTTCCTTTTTGGAGGCCTCAGTGTAGATTGCAAACCAATGAGTAAGAAAATGAGCCTCGTTCTTTATTTTCATCTCCAGAAGTCTTGTGAGCTCTGTATCTCCTGTGAGAGTTGTTGTTGCAGTAATGTGTTTGTTTCATTAGGTGATGGCTGGCTGTTTGATACGGAAACTAAGCTATGGAGGGAGTTTGAGCATCCCTACAAGAATAAACCAAGGTAGAAGCAAATGTTTTACAGATACAACTGTGAAAAAGACTTTTTCAGGGTTACAGTACGTTGTGTTTCCCTGTCTTTAGGCTGTGGCACACAGCCTGTGTGAACAGAGATTCTGATGTGATTGTTTTTGGGGGAAGTTGTGACTACATCCTCCTTGTTGACACAGTAAGTATCCCAAAGAAAGTGAAAAACAGATTGGTTACTATACACTATATATAACACTGTACCCAACGCTCTGTTTCGTTTGGCGCTCTTAACAAGATTGACATTTTAAACAGTATCTTAGCTTTTATTTAAAATATTGAATGAATAAACAAAACACAACATGACCACTAGATCCCAAATGGATCTCAAATAACTCATGATTTGACTCTTCTCTCTTTCATAGGGTCACTGCAACGAAGCACTTGTATTCCAGATGCAACCGTATCCTCTGTTTAGGTAAATCAGCTTATTTTGACTATGTAGGTTAAGTTACTTAAAATGGAAATATTTCTTCCAAAAATAGAGCTTTATCTGACAGCATTTTTTTTTTATTTCCTGACAGGATTTGTGAGGACTATGTTGCAAAAAATGTAAGAAAGTCAGAGAGTCTCAGAAATCAGCTTCCTTTACTACCTCCAAAACTTCTGAAGGCACTGCAGAGGAGAATATCTTTCTACAGACCCTCAAAGAAGCAAAATATTAATTAATCTGAAATGCCAAGAATGCGTTATAATTTACTTTTTACTTTTGGGATTTAACATCTAATTTTAAAGATATATGATGCTGAACATTTCATGTTGATTTATAAAGTTGTTTTATGAAAACACATTTTATTTTGTACAGTCTCCCAGCCCAAAAAATCATTAAGTGATGATTAAATAAGCTGTTGAAAAGTTTTTGCCTCATGTCGATGTCATGGCCACTGTGGTATATGTCTGTTGAACAGAGTATCAGCAGAAATAAGTACAAAAACCTTTTTCAGAATATTTTTAATTTGTTGTACAAAACGATGCAAATTATCTGCTGTTTAATCTTCTGTTTTTTTCGAAACCACATCTTTTTGTTATGTGTGCAGCACTCACACATCCATTCTTTGTTCAGTGACACAACTGCCACTGAGGGGCAGCAGCCTTTTCATGTTCAAAAATGGCCTAAAGGTGTCAGCAGAAATGCCGCTGGGCCAAATGTAGCCTGGCTTAAAGGCTCTCTTGTGCCACATTCCTTTTCATAAACCTGGAAAAGTGCTGAATTTGAGCAAAGGAAGGAAACCTTAACCAAACATTCCCCTTTCATACGTTTGCACGGTTGCCACATCTGACAAGGATTAGTTCAGGTCTGTGCTGGATCTGTGACCAAGTTTACACACAGAATTGTCAAAAACACTTAATAGACATCGCATGCAGAGATGTGAAAGACTGTTGAGTCTAAGCAGCCATAAATATCACATTTATATCATGTAGTTTTTAACAGATGAGTCAGAATAATGCATGTAACATGTAAGAAGTGAAGGTTTGTTGAGACAGAGCCTGGCTGGATGGACGGGATGACATGACACCCTGCTGTTGCAGATAACAAACCAAGGAGGCCTCTGTCTGTTAACACCCCGGGTCAACACAAGGAGAACCTGCTGGCATCTGTTCAAGGTTGTGTTGTATTGCAGCAATTGCCCTGTCTGTCATGTTAAATAACAAGTGGATTAATTCGATTACAAGAAGTGACCTGTTGTATCCAACCAATAGAAATTCAGATATCAATAACCAAGATGAAAATACTGATTGTGCAGTGTCATCTGGAAGATTGAAGGTTTAAAGAGTCTTTAAAAAATATCTTCTGCAAATTAGTTCTCACGAAGACTGGAATAGTATTTTACTTGTTGTTCAGCTTTCAGGTCAGCTGAACTCTTTCTCTATTGTGTCCATCAGCTCCTCTTCTGATCCGTGGTATAGCATGACTGGCATGGTCAGAGAGTCTCTACTCCTGTGGGAAGTAAACAAACATGTTGACTAAATGCTGCTAAAAAGCAGAAAAACTTATCTGACAAAATGGGGTTCAGTTTCTAGTGTTAGTTTAAGGACATTTTTGTATGTTTTTTAAATGTTTATGCATGTGTTTGTTTCTTTGCAATCTTATGAACAGTCACTTGTTTCTGCTTTGCCAGCAGCCATCTGACAAATCTGACCCACACAGACAATACTAGGCAGGTAGTTTGATCCCTTTAAGGAGAATTTGATATAGCCATGCTCCATTTTTACTCCACTTAGCTCAGAAATCATTTATTTATGAGAGCTGTCGACTTACGGTTGTTTTTCTGATGTGGGTATAGCTTCCAAAGAAGTTCCTCTGGTCAAACAGCCCTGTGAGGAGGATTTAATGGAAAAGAGTGGAGAAAATAATAGTTCCATTCATTTTCGGAACAATAAATCAAACCAACAGTTAATTTAAAACCATCTTGTTTTTTTCTGTAATGAATGGAATTGCACTGTTGAAAAGAAACTACACACACGGATCCATTCTGTTCAAATCTGTCCCTTACCTTCTGCTGATTCGGGCACGCTTTTGTCGTGTTGTTGTGTTCTCTGGAGTGCGTGAAGGCAAGATTGCTTCTCTTATTTACATCCTTTGGCACGGCGGGAGAGACACGTGGCTCTTCGGCTCCTCCAGATGTGCGCTGAGGTGGAGCCGAGCTGACGTCGCTCTCCGTGTCATCCTGTCTGAAGTGACACAGTCCGTACTTTTTTGACTTGACGAAAGACCTTTTTTTGTACGTTTTCTTCACGGACACGCTCTCGCACTCCTCATAATCTGCGAGGACCGTTTCTAGCTCTCTGTCGGCACAGTTGTCTTCCCCGGCAGAGTGAGCTCCGTGCCCCACGCTGCTGCCGTCCGGCCGCGCGCTCTTACGCACGGAACTCACAGCTGTAGGAGCCTCCAGAGACCTGAATTGAGTCGGATCATCCTGCTTGGGAGAAGCGATAGCGGACCCTGTTTTCGTCACGTTCAACTCGCTGACGCACACAGGTGCGACTTTCTTTCCTCTGCTTGTGCCAGTGCCCATGTTCGTGCATCTGGCTGTTCAAAAGCAACGTCCCGCTCCAAACGTTCGTCTTCAGGAGTGCAAAACCATTGAAAATGAAGCAAAAGACATTCGATCCATGGAAATTTATAGTCCAGACTTGGTTAGGATGATGATTTTAAAACATATAATTGCCCCCAAAAGAAACGAAAGGAACTCTTGAGGCCGGTTGTCTCCCCAAAATGTATCTCGACGCACAGCTGAAAACGTCCTCACACGTTCACTGAGCAACCCGCAGTCTAGGCTTGCTAGTAACTCCCGTCAGCACGCGAAACTGTGTTTCCGTTACATAACACACTTTGGCCCAGGACCCCTGGGAGAAAACCCCGCCTTCTAATAGAGAGAAACACACACCCTTTGAGTTTCTATTATATTTTTGCAAAAACTAACTTCCACTTTGACTTCATAATCCTTGCCTCCAACTGTATTTTCCCAACTAAATTCAGCATATCTTAAGAAAAAAAAAACTTCTACATATTCTGGTATGGATGATGGATAAATATGTTTCAAAAGCACTGGGATTGATCATAAAAAGGCTAAAGAGAGCAATTAGTTTCATTCGCATGAATCACATCAGTTATACGACCTACTTATTGTCCCTCTCTGTTCAGCTAATAGATTTTATTGAGGTAAGTGAGGTCCAGAGTGAGTTAGTTCCTGCCAGTCCGATGCTTCGGGGCCCCAAGTGACAGATTAAGACTTGAGCCCTGGGCTGCAAGAGAGGGGGCATTCCTTTCCAACAGCTTGAGCTTCCCAGAGATTCCTCAATAAGCTTTTGTTTGGACCACTTGCACATACAAAAGACACAGCAGGAGCACCTCAGAGACAAAGCTGTCCAACAGAACAACAGTAAAAACTGTGTTTGCGATCTTTCATTAAATGCCTCTTTCTCTTTTCTTTTGTAGCTCATGTGCACATGTATATATGTCTGTGCCAGACAGCTGTGCAACCTGCTCTCTCTGGAGGACGACCAAGTCAAAGACACCTGTTATTCAAGCAAATGGTATTTTCCAAACTCAATGTGACAGAAACAACTGTCTGCAGATGTCTCTGCCAGGAATTTCCTGCTTTCTGGAAAGTCTGTTGTTGATATATGAATGTTAAGTTGAAGACAAGAAGCAAGAAACATAAAACATTATAAAGATGGATCTTTTCAGTTTAACTGAGCTTGATTTGAGTCCCCCCCAAAAAAACCCTGTGCAGCATCCTCCATTTCCATGTCAACTTTAGCAATGCTTTTCTACCACTCCCTCACTACGTGATGCAATCCGAGGATTCTCAGAGAATACGTGGTTGGTTAAAGTGTTTCAGAAGACTTGAAATTTTGCCTCTGAACATAATCAAATCTACCAACTTCAATACAGGGAGACTGTGAGAGTTCTTTTGCCAATCCTGCCTCTCTAGTTTGTGTTATTTTTCAACCCCCATTTCTCTCCCTCTCCCTCTGTACCACTGTGTCATTAAAGAGATGTGGCGGCCACATCTGGAGAAAACCTCAACAGCTTCCAGACGAGGGGGAGGATCTGGTGCAAGATGGAAGCCACGACTCAGCTCGCTGCATAAGTGTGGTTTTCCTGACGTCTCCCAGATTCAAGAACACGCCTCAAACATGGGCAGAGTCCAAAGACTGGATGAAGTGTTTATGAAACTAGCTATAAATTCTGCATGGCTTTATATATGGAGTCTAAACTCTGAGAATAGTCCAGAACTGTGTGGGATTCAAATGCCTTTTTGTTAACACCCAACAGCAGGACAGCACATGTGAGTAATTAGATTATTATGACTCAACCGCTTAATTTGAGGAGTCACGAATAAAACAATTGTTGTCATGCTTGAGCGCAAAGGGGGGAAAAATATACCGTATGCCTGTAAAAACAAATCCCTTGAGAGTATTTAACAAGTCAGCGTCTCGCTGATACACATTCCTTGGCCTCATACCCAACCAGGTAGAAAAACAAGGCAAGATCAAAAAGATCTACTCACAAACATGCACAAACAAGTCCTGTTCTGTTAAAGAGGCTTGTTTTCAATTTGTATTTAGAATTTGTTATTGTTTGATACATTTAAAGAATGAGGTACTCCATAAAAAGAAAAAACTGTTATATAACATGAAAATATTTTATAACTTCAAATTGATCATCAGTATCTGTTTTAAAGTCATCCAAGACACAAAAAATTAGAAAGAATGTGACCAGATGTAGAAAAATAGAGACTAATATAATGATATTCCAGACACACTAAGGATCTCCAACAGAGTTTACAAAAAATGCTTAGTTGTCTCTGCTTTGCTCGGATAAAAGGTTCATTGAGTTATATGACTGCGTGATCAGAGCTGAGACAGAGGGATGTTGTAAGTCTGACGAGGTTGTTGGGGCAACAGTCTACACAGTCAAAAGGAGTTGAGCCGTATTTAAAGGAGGGGCATCTTTATTTAACTTTGAGCTATCCTTCTTAATCTGCAAGATTAGTTCATTTAAATTAAGGCATCTGCTTTTGTGTTGTTAGTGAAAGTACGTCACAGAGAGGAAGCTGTGACCTCTAAAAGATGTCTTTTCCCCTGCAAACCTTTTACTCCCACACATTACTGTCACTCCTAATTTATTCCTCTGACAGGCTGCTGTAAGAGGCAGTTCTTGTCTGTGTCCTGATTTCAGTCATGATAAGACGAATATTGAGAATACAACCAGCAGATGGAGCTAGCATTCAAGAAAAGCAATTCATTCCATCAATAGAAGCTCTTGAACAGGATATAGTTGAACTCAAACAGCACCTTTAAAGATAATAACTTTCTTCTCCAGAGTGAAAACTTTCGGAAGGCTGTGTAAGTTCATGTTTGTATGGAAGTCTAAACTGGATACAATGACCTAAAACAATGAACCAAAAGGTGCAATATTGATGTCTTCTTTGTTGTAATGTAACAAAAAGGAGCTGGTGTTTGGTTACAGAAGGTGAGAATGTTATTTAGTGATGAACAAAATTATCAACACTAAATACACTCATCATAACATGCAACATAACTGTAAATTAATAAGAAAGTTTTATAGTGTCACCTCAATACGAAAAACATTCTGGGCCAAGTTGCATTTTTAGATGTCATTACTCTATTCATGTTGACTTTGCTTGGACTATTCTGTCTCTTCTCCACACCCTCCCATGCTTGCACGATTTCTGAAACGTGAGTTGGAAGGTTCCCTCTGCCAAATGTATGGTCACAGTGGCAGTGACCCATTTTTTCTGTCAATAGCCCATGTAATCCACAGAAAACAATTATTGCCTCTCTCAGGTTCTCCAAGCGCTCAATACCAACATCTGCTGATTTCCTAATTATCCACCAGGTAAGAGGCTTTATTTGGAGAGAAACTCTGAGCAATCAATCTTTGCCCAATAGGCTTTTTGGTAGCACCCTCACCTGTCAAATTGCTTTAAATCTGTTCATTTAATTTGGTTTGATTAATCTCCAAAATAAGATGTGGTGTTGATGATTTGGGAATTCTTTGATATTCTTTAACTTTATCCATGAATATTAAGTAAATATTTATGCGATGTTGGTTTAATTCAAAATGATTATACTCACTTTTTTAGGTAAACAAAATATATTACCTAAAAAAGTAACATATTATTATTTTTTTGTAGATTGGAATCATAACTCAGTTAAATCCTGATGTTGTTATGGTTTTTGTTCTCCCCTGAAAACATCCTTAATTTCCAAATGAAACAACTCCAGTCTCTTTCAGAATTCTGTAGGTATCCCGATTACAAGAAATCTGTTTTTACTCATCAGCAGATTAGACTGAGTTAAGGAAACTCTAGGAATATTGTTATTTCTATCTCTGCAATTGCCCAAAGGTCTGTTATTAATATTGCTTATTACTAATTAATTGACCAATAATCATTTAAGCATTTGTATTGGTCATGTGAACAGAAGTCAGACAGCATTTATCAAAGATTTCCTGTCTTCTCTCTACTCCTTTCTGTCAAAACAACACAGTGAATTTGAAAGTTGGTCTGACTCTTTCCCTGGGCACTTGTGCTCCAAAAAACATTTTGAAGATGGACGAAATGCTCAGAAGGTTCATCCAAAAAAAAAGAAACATTCTGATGTTGATTTGACATGGCCAGGAGGTGCTGAATTGATAGCTGCACAAAAGGCATTACTATTTCATTTAAAATGCCTGGAGAGCCAACACTTATGTCATGGCTGTAGTGCCTTGAGGAGGAAAAGACTATCAGTTCCCATGGTCATTTAAAATTTATGTGGATTACGGTAACTTTACAGTTATGTGAAAAATATCACAACTTTCCACTCTAAAACTCCATTAGGATAATACAACAAGTAATTAAGTTTTTACTCGGTCCTAACAATGAAACATACAAATAAAACCTCAGACTGTACAATTAATAAAAGCACTCAAGCACGGCCTGTGTAAAAGGATAACCAGGAGAAAGACTTAACACAGCAGCATATCTGAACCAACTATAAGACCTCTGAAACAAATAACTTTAGATGAATGATTGGAGATGTTTGGCCATAAAGTACATCAACACATTTAGCTGAAAACCAAATGCAGCCAATCATCACAACCACCTCATACCAATTGGCACTTTGGAGGATTGCTGATGATTGTGGCTTGTTTTGCATCTTCAGGACCTAAACACATTGCTGTCATTGATCCCACCAAGAGTTCCAAAATGATAAAATCATGGAGTCAGATGTGAGACCATCTGTGTCACAGCTAAACCTTCCTTGAAATAAAATAATGCCACAATAAAATTATCCTAAGCCCAGCAGCAATTCTCTGAGAGAATTGCTATAAAGGCAAAAAAAAAGGCTTAGTCAAAGTCAAGACCTCAACCTGAAGAGGGGCTGTGATGAGACATGACATAAAAAAAAGTTTAGCATATATGGAAGAATGCAATAAGTCAATATAAAGTCAATATACCAAATTGATAATAGCATCATGCCATGTCTCCTCTGCAGAAGG